CCCAAATGCTTAAAAAAATGTAACCTCACTTAAATGGAAAGCCTTCATCAGCCTGTTTTGGAATATTTGCTTGCACTCAACATTAATTTAAAAAGCTTCCAGAGGTCCCAAAGGTTATTCCCTCTAATTATTTTTATCCTGTCTGTGAGAAAGATGGTGAGCACTCTCTGATGTGATATTTATTCACTACACTCGAAAAACTTTGTTTGCTGTGCAGGATTGCTAAAGTTTGAAGTCACAGGAAATACATTTGGGGGGGGGTGTGATGGGGATTTACCACATTCTGCCCACAGGGATTATAGTCCACACAGGGTTTGGCTATCCTTTCCTGGCATTTTCTATTCCCAGGCTTCCATAAGAGCAGGCACTTTGCTTGATTTCAACTTTAAAATGATTGTAGTTAAGCTATGGAACTTGTTCCAACAGGAGACAGCGATGGCCACCAACTTGGATGGGTTTAAAAGATGATTGTCTAAATTGGACAAATTCCTGGAGCATAAGGGCTACTAGCCACGACGGCTATGCTCTTTCCTCATAGTTGGAGGCTGTAGGTCAGGCATAGGCAAACTTGGCCCTCCAGATGTTTTGGGACTACAACTCCCATCACCCCTAGCTAACAGGACCAGTGGTCAGGGATGATGGGAATTGTAGTCTCAAAACATCTGGAGGGCCAAGTTTGCCTATGCCTGCTGTAGGTTTCTGAATACCAGTTGCTGGAAACCACAGGAGAGCAGATTCTTGTGCTTGGGTCTTGCTTGCAGATTTCCCACAGGCACTTGACTGACCACCGTGAAAACAAGATGGTGGACTAAATGGGACTTTGGCCTCATCCAACAAGCTCTTCTTAGGTTCTTGTTGTGAGTAATAATAATAATATATTATTTATACCCCACCCATCTGGTTGGGTTTCCCCAGCCACTCTAGGCAGCTCCCAATGAAATATTAAAAACACGATAAAACATCAAACGTTAAAAACTTCCCTAAAAAGGGCTGCCTTCAGATGTCTTCTAAACGTCAGATAGTTGTTTATTTCTTTGACATCTGATGGGAGGGCATTCCACAGGGTGGAAGTCCCTCTGCCTGGTTCCCTGTAGCCTCACTTCTTGCAGTGAGGGAACCACCAGAAGGCCCTCAGCGCTGGACCTCAGTGTCTGGGATGAATGATGGTGGTGGAGACACTCCTGCAGGTATACTGGGCCAAGGCTGTTTAGGGCTTTAAAGGTCAGCACCAACACTTTGAATTGTGCTTGGAAATGTACTGGGAGCCAATGCAGGTCTTTCAGGACTGGTGCTATATGGTCTCAGCAGCCACTCCTAGTCACCAGTCTAGCTGCCACATTCTGGATTAGTTGTAGTTTCTGGGTCACCTTCAAAGGTAGCCCCACATAGATTGCAGTAGTCCAAGCGAGAGATAACTAGAGCACACACCACTCTGGCAAGACAGTCTGTAGGAGCCAGGGAGAGGTTAGTGGCAGGAGCCCTTTGCAGAGGTCACCCTGGTGGGAGCTTCTTGGTCACATCACCCCTCATTGCATATGATCGAAGGAAGCTTCTCATATTACCAACAGGCTCAAAGAATATACGAACAACTTGGAGACCATTCAGTTTAAACACGATGCTTGAGAACAGCCTCAGATACAACAATGCTTATATTTATGTATGTTTATGTACACTGGCAAAGAAATCTTTATGTCCTTTGCACAGTTCATAGGAAGCATATACGCCACAGACTAAGCAGCTAACGGTGAGAAACAACGTGGGTTAAATATACTGCCTGAAACAGGATGCTAAAATCACAGACCCATGTAAACTTTTGAAAAAGATGTCAGGAACTATTTGCAATTTTCCCCCCTCTAAATTTCTGGCTGCAGAGCACCATCTAGAGGCAAGGGAGGATTTAGCAATTTTATAACATCTGCAGATACTCAATTTATGGGGAGGGAGGAGAGCGAGCGAGCGAGGGAGAGAGCTCATCCCCACTTTGCTTGTCCCGTGCCTAGAAAGCATGGGTCTGAGTGGTTTTTCATTCATATCACTGCTTTTCCCAGGAAAAACCACTGTTTACCAATGAATCCGAGCAAACTACAATCTGTTTTTTCCAATGCAGCGCTAAACCTCAGGTTTTCCCAGGGGTGCGTGGGGAGACAAGCAGAAGTGTGGATAAGCCCCCCCCCCCGTTAATATTATTTATGTTATTATCCTATTTATGGGCTCTGGAAATGCGCGTTACTGAAATAATAGCACTTGAAGCAAACAGACAGAAGACTCCTATGCAAGTCTGTTTTTATTCAGGCTGTTTGCTTTAGTCCCTCAGCCCTTCTGGTTTATATCTATTCATCTATTGATATCCATTCTTACTGTATAAACAAAAGCCTCACTACAAAAGAGGTGTATCAGCAACTTCCTTTCACCTGCGCTCTCAGTGTACACCTGTAGTTTGCTTAGCAATAGAAGGGGGCTGAAGTGTAGGAGATGCTCTCAGAATTGTACAAAACGTATTTGCCCTTGACAAGTTTGAATATGTCTTTGACAGGCAGCTCAGGTCCTATTTTCCTGTGAAGATGGATTTATCATGCCTGCATGATAAATCGATAGGCAGAGTGAGGCAGCTGCCCAGGCAGCCTGTGTTAAATGGCCAATAATAAAAGTGAAGTGTTGGAAAACAGACCTATGTGCTTATTGCATGGCCTGCACTATGCCTCCAAAGCAAGCTTCCATTGCATGGTGCTATCCCACTGCCAGTTTCGAATCATAGAACTGTGGAGTTGGAAAAGATCCCAAAGGCCGTCTAGTCTAATGCAGGAATCTCAGCTAAAGCATCCATGACAGATAAGCATCCAACCTCTGCTTAAAAACTTCCATAGAAGGAGAGTCCACAACCTCCTGAGAGAGTCCATTCCAATGTCGAACAACTCCTACCATCAGAAAGTTCTTCCTGATGTTTAGTTGGAATCTCCTTTCTTGTAACTTGATTGGTTCAGGTCCGACCCTCTGGAGAAAGAAAAAACCAAGCTTGCTCCATCTTCCATGTGACAGCCCTTGAGATACTTGAACATGGCTATCAAATCTCCTTTCAATTGCCTCTTTTCCAGGCTAAACATACCCAATTCCCTCCACTGTTCCTCCTTAGGCTTGGTTTCCAGACCCTTGTTTGTCTTGGTTGCCTTCCTCTGCACATGTTCCAGCTTGTCAACGTCTTTCTTAAATTGTGGTGCCCAGAACTTGACACAGTACTCCTGGTGTGGTCTGACCAAGGCAGAATAGAGTGGGACTATTACTTTCCTTGATTGGGACACTATACTTCTTTTGATGCAGCCTAGAATAGCATTAGCTTTTTTGGTGCTACATCACACTGTTGATTCATGTTAAGCTTTTGGTCCACCAAGAGCCCTAGATTCTTTTCCCATGTACTGCTGGCAATACAGGTGTCTCATCTTATATATGTGCAGCTGGTTCTTCCTGCCTAAGTGTAAAACCTTACATTTATCCCTATTCAAATTCATTTTGTTTAGTTCTGGCCCAGTTCTCCAGTCCGTTAAAGTTCTCTTGAATACTGTTTCTGTCTTCTGTGGCATTGGTTTGGTGTCATTTGCTGCAGTTTGGTGTCATTTGCTGCAAACTTGATGAGCATTCCTTCATCCAAATTGTTTATAAAAACATTGAACAACAATGCGCCCAGGACAGAACCCTGCAGCACCTCACTTGTCACACCTCCCCCCCCCCCAGATGATGAGGATCCATTACCCATTATTTGGGTTCAGTCAGCCAACCAGCTACAAATCCACCTAACAGATACCGCTTCCAGCCTAGATTTTACCAGTGTCTTGGGCCTACATGCACTGAGAAAGCCAGATTGTGAAGCATGATTTAAATATGATTATGTTAGCTATGATCAAAATGTGAGACACATATTTTAAATAAATAATATTTGGCTGGTATCCATGGAGACCAAAAGCGGCTTCAGGGAGACAATTTTTGGGACTGTGGCTGAGACAGTTTTAATTGTCTTCTCACCCACCTCCCCAATCTCCCCTGAGATTGCTGAGGTATCCCCTTGGCTGTTATATATACACACAAACACTTAACATCATGTCTAGTTTAGCTCTTATCTTCTGTCCACAGCAAGTTTCTTGACGTACCGCCCATTCCTGTGCACAATTTCTTAGAAGTAAGTTCCACTGAGTTCAATGGTATATTTTGCAATTACGCCCAGGATTTCAACCCTAGAAGTTTGACACAAATGTTCCAACCTGTGCTGTCAGTTACAAGACAGAAGCAGTTGCTTGAGGGGGGCAATATTACCTGTCATATAGGAATTTTTGGAATGTAATGTCTAAATATAGTTTGGGGCTTGTTATTTCAATGGCTGTGTGTTAAACTTCATGGATTTCAAAGAAAGCTTGATTTTGCAAGGAATGTCAGAGTTGTACATCTTCTGCCCAGATATCAGTTTACCCTGACTATTGTTAAAAAGTTAACACATCTGCATGGCAATGTGATACTCTTTTTTATGAGGTTGCATTGAAGCCAACTCCAAACCTGAAGCACACAAATACCAAGGTCTTTTTACTGCACTAGACCAATCCTTTTTTCTAAAAAAGAAGAAGAAGCAAAAAGCAGCAAACTCAAGGAATCGGTTTCTTGCATCTGTGTTTTTCACTTGACAATGGAAGTCCATTTAATTAGGCCCTTCCCCTACCCACCCAAAGTTATACTTGCTTCCTGAGCAGTATCACAGGAGTTGTAAATGCTGCAGGGTATTATAATCTATGCAGAAATGCTTAAGACATTGGCAGGCTCCAATTTGGGGGATCAGGCCCACTGATGTCTGAAGTCCAGAGCCCAGACCTGGCTACCCATTGGTCAAGCAGGGCCAGCTGGAACACCTAACATACCTAGGCAGTTGCCAAAGACCCACCAGGGCTCAGATTGGACCATCTGCCCATTAGGAGACCTTGCAGCTTGGGTGAATTAGTTTGGAATAATCACTTATAGCTACTGAAGTTTAAAGGCTTTATTCATTCAGGAACTATTTACAGTGTGTGTGGAGATGAGAGAGAGAGAGAATAACAGACATACTGCCTGGAGAGAACAACAAACAAAATGGCTCATGTTTTAGTGGTGGAGTTAACTTGGACAAAGCAAAGACTACAAGCAAGGGCTGGCTAGATTGCTAGACAAACAGTGTCCTTGTGTCATTTAACTAGAAGTTCGGGTGAAGGACATGTATTTGCTTTTCTCCAACATTCCTTGGCTCAGATTATAAAGCAGCAGCAGTGGGAGAGCAGGAGGCCACCATTTTGATTATCCCACAGTGCCCCTGAATGTCACTGTCAATAAATTGTGGGGACATAAAAATGGCAGGTGGCTTGCAGATGCCCACCCAAGATGGCAACACAATGGTAATTCCACTAGTGGAGGGCCCAAGGCTGGAAGGGGGTTTGTCAGGGAGGTAGAGCTAATCAATAACACTTTGCCAGGGCTCCGTTAACAAATAGCGCCAGCCTTGGCATCAAAGAAGGGGAGGACTCATGTGGAGTGGGCGGTGTGAATGGCAGACTTCCTGCTATGTCTGCCTGGAGGCTTGGGTGGAAAATATAATTTCCCTTTTCTCTTTTCACAGGCACTACTGATCTCTTGCCTAAGGTATGAGGAGCCAATGATGACTTGAGTGCTAAACTTGGATGTGAAAGCCAGCTTCAAATCCTGTGACACCTCCTGCTGGCCTTTGGTACCCGCCCCCTCTTCCTGCAACGTCAGGAAGAGAAGGACCTTGTTATATATTATCACTGTGAAATGTACACTTTGAGATGTCTCTGCTAAAGCCCTGGTTGTTGTCTCCCATCAACAGCTATCCTGCCTGATCATGACATACTGCAATAGTAACACCCTGCCATCTGGCAGCAATAGGAACCATCTATTAATAGATTTACAAAGTGAAAAAATGCATTTTAAAAGCTCTTTGTTTTAATTTAAAATGGCCTGAGAGAATCCTGTGAAATCATTGCCACAGAGAAAGTTCTGGTTTGCATTCAGCATTTTTGATGACATGGTTCTTATGGTTCTATCTAGACATTAAAATTTTTGTTAGTCTACATCACTAGCATTCTTCTGAAATACAATGTATGAGTGAATGGAAGCTGGAGCTATTCAAAGCTGCTCTTTGATTAAAAGGTTCCTGAGAACAGGAAATGGAGGCTCTTTTTAAAAAATGTGATTTAATTGATACATGTTATATGAGTTTGTGTTTTTCTATTATAAACCACCCTGTGATCCTTGGTTGAAGGGTGGCATAGAAATTTAGTAAACAGTAACAATAAATGATTTAAATAAATACTTTTTTTTGCATAGGATAAGTTAGAGCTGGAAATTCCAAGGACAACATTTCACTGTAACCATCATCGTATTAAGTTAGGTTAAGCAAACCACTATTATTTTTTCTATAGAGGTGATTTCATTGACCTAAGTACCTTATAGGCCAATTGTAATACTTACTAAGATAATGTACATGATGCACTTTGAACTCTCAAAATGTGCTATTTAGGTGCTAAGGGTAATTTATTACTACTTTTTCTATTATACTTTGGCAAATGCATCAATGCACATGTTTTGCATATTGCTAATTTTATTATTTTTAATATTAGATTCTAAGTTGGAACCCACTCATTTTTTATTTATCTATTTCTTTTAAAACCAACATTGTTAAATAAAATTAGAAACTGAATTTTCAATGTTTTCATGATGTTTTGACTTAATTGTTGAATCTTCAGAGATATATAGGTTATGTGCATATGTGTTTGTCTGTATGTGCCCCATTGCCTAAATGATATTTTCTTTTAGAGGCATGAGCCCCAATAAATTACCTTTCTACAACTTGGCCAAAGGTATGTTGTTGTTTTGGCACTGTATCATCAAAGCAAGCAGCTCTAGGTCCAAGGTGTTCACATAACACTGCGTCAAGGATTTTGAAGTGTAAGGTCCTGAAAAGAATATCTTGAGGGACATCCATCTTACAGCCCATTTCTATCAAACTGTTCCTGAAAGAAAGAAAGAAAAAAGACCCGACCAATGTGGATGTAGAACAGAACAAATATTCCTAAGAACAAGTTAGCACCATAGCAGTTACCTAGCTGGTTGCCTGTTGATAGATTGATACATAACACTAAGTCATAGTTTAGCACTGCATGGACTTGAATGAGTCTGAGTGAAGCAGTGAGGAGTTCAGAAGTATTTAATTTCACTCATATTAAACATTGGCCTAGCAGTTATGTTTGAACCCTAGATCAAACTCTGGTTAGTTTAACAAGCTACCTTTATAGCCAGGGCCGTCTTAAGCATATCCGGCGCCATGGTGCAAAGATCCCTCCAGCGTCCCCCCCCCGGCAACTCCAAAACAAGGGAGGGGGCGGTGAAAATGTCCTCTGCCTCCCCCACCACCCTGATCCCCGACATGGTGGCAGCGATCAAGCAGGAAAATGTGCTGGTGGACATGCTCTCTGGTGTCAGGGCGCCCAAGAAGGCAGCCCGGGAAGGCTGCGTGCTGCCTTTCACCAGGAAGCAGGAGGAGAACAACAACCGGGAGCAGGGCCGGGAGCATGGCTGGTGGGCATGCAGATCTCTGGGGATCGCTCTCCTCCTGCGGAGACTTGGGAAGGAAGCTGCATGCCCGCCAGCCATATAGTTGCCGGGGTGCAGCTGGCGGGTGTGCAGGGAAAGGGGAGACTGCTGGCAAAACCATGCAGCTCCCCCACTCACTAGGGCGCCCAAGAGGCCAGCACCCTGGTGCAACAAACTGCTAAGACCAATGGGAAAGACGGCTCCATTTATAGCCATAGTTTAAAGCTGGCTTGATATGAAACAGAATGTTTTTTTAAACCAAGATCCCTTGTTCAAATGTAACACTAAACTGGGCTACAATAAAACTCTGCTTAGGTCCTGCTCCTGGGTGGATAGGAGGAGGAGAACACACCTAGCAGGAAAGCTGTAGGGGGCCACAGAAGTCCAACACTTTGTGCAGGTTCATTCAAGGTCACTCAAATAGTTCTAAGACATGGTTTTAGGGTTACATGTGAATGTGGCCAATGCAGCATATTACAGTGGTACCTTGGGTTAAGAACTTAATTCATTCTGGAGATCCGTTCTTAACCTGAAACTGTTCTTAACCTGAAGAACCACTTTAGCTAATGGGGCCTTCCGCTGCTGCCGCGCCGCCGGAGCACGATTTCTGTTCTCATCCTGAAGCAAAGTTCTTAACCAGAGGTACTATTTCTGGGTTAGCGGAGTGTGTAACCTGAAGCGTATGTAACCTGAAGCTTATGTAACCCGAGAAACCACTGTACTGGGAAAAGAACCCAAAGAGTTTTGTTGCAACTTAATGGCTAACATTTAGGATGGCATCAGCTTTTGTGGATTAGAGTCCATTGCAGAGCAACAATACCAAGTTACTGTTCCCTATTACAGTTTCTATCGAAGGATCTGTCCCCTATCAAAACTCAAAAGAGTCAAATTTCAGTGGTAAAATGTTATTTGGTCATGTTTAGACTGCTTTAGGTTACATAGTGCTTTAAAATTAGTTTTCAGTTGCGGGGCACGGTAACTAATTTTGGTTTTTATAGGGAGTGAGTCTTGCGAGTTTTAAATCAATTGTTTGAATCACCCTTGGCTCTGTGATCAGGAACCAAATGAAAACTGTATGCTTTATTACCTAGATAGGAGAAGGAAATGCTTTCTATTATTTATATCATATTACATTATTGTGGAGTGACCTATTAAATGGTAAGTCCATTTGTTTAAACTAAGAACAATGCATGCTATGCTTATTTCTGACCTTTTCTGGACATGTTGCACTAACACAGAGGTTTTATACATTTAATGTTATTATATTACAGGTCACTGTGGTTGTGTTGTTTTTGTCTACAGAAACAGTATTTAAATCTTGAAAGTAAAATAAACCTGACTATCCCAAAGGTAATAATGGCACTTTTGTTCATTATTGTCATTTATCAAGCTGAGCTGTGTTGCTGATGTCTGGTAATAACTACTAAAAGCAAAAGCAAAACAGTATCAAACTCTTTCAAAGAAACCCAAAACGTCCCCAAACAAATATATACAGAGTTCATTAAAATAAGAAAAGAAACTGGGTTTCCCCTCCCCCCATCACTTTCTACTAATTTCCAGGGAGCTAACAATAAACACGGCATTGTGCCTAAACATGAAATTCTCACCTCATAAATTTCCTATGGCAGCTATTGGGAAATAGCACCAAAAATTTTTATTTCTTTGACTTTCGCAGTATTTAATTGCCTTGGGGGCACACAAAATGCCTTTATAAGAGCATTAACCTCCACATGAATTACATCGGCTTTGCTCAAGCATGTTTGGACCTAACTCTTCAGTGCAGCAAGAGGCATTTCAATGGAGAAAATAAGTGGTTAGTGCAATGGTATACCAATTACTCAGAAGTAATCCTACTGGGACACAATGGGACTTACTTCTAAGTAGGCATGTATTGCGCTGTTAATTGACTGTGGCTGCTGCCTGATGGATTAGTCGGTTTGTTAACTTGAAATACATTCACGTTATCAGAATTGCTGGACAAGATTCTACTAACAGACTCCACTAGTGGAAGCCCACATGACGGCTTCTGTTAGTACAGTGGGGTGGGGTTCCCCCTCTCCTCCCCGTGCCCCCTCACTCCCACCCCAATTGGCCCTGGGAGTGGGTAGGATAACTCTCAGAGAATTATATAGGGGAAAGAGAGGGAAGAGTGTTCCCCCAGGCAAGCAAAAATGTTTGCTCAGATGGAGCAATATCCTCATTGCTACCTTGAATTCCTTCCACAGAGTTTCCTCATTGTCAACCTATTAATCAGGAGCCAAATTTTAATCTACAAACCATTACTCAAAATTATTATAATTATTAATTGCTTTCCCCCAAAAAAGGTGAACTCAAAGGTAAACCTTTTTGAGTCCTCCAGGGTCTCATCTAACAACCACTTCATTGGCTACTGCATCAGGTCTTTTGATTACCACCCCACCCCCCAGATTTGAGAGAATTTCAGGGAAGCTGCTATAAAGTTTAGCATTTTTGAGGGAGAGGAGGGATAGAGGGAGAGGGGGAGAAGGGTTAGGGAGAATCTGCTTATTTGCAAATTGGATAGGAGAGTCTATTGGAAGCAAGCAGACTCCTCAAAACAGGCTTCAAAAGTACTGATCCTGAATAAGTTGCCCAAAGCAACTACTCCTGTAGTTCTACAAGCTGCTTCCTGTTAGCTCGATTCACAGTACTGTCTGTTTCCAAATTCAGAAACTGCCAACTCTTTTATTTTCCACTGCCCTGAAGATCTCTGGTATCAGATCCCACTGTTATAGATGCTGCTGCTTCTCATTTGGAAGAAGATATCCAACTTGACTATTGGCAAGCAACCAGCTAGACAAAAAGTAGTTTCACCTGGCCTATCTGAAACAATTTGCTCTGAACAGCAAGCTGGCTTAATCTAAATAGCTGAACAAGTACCGAATATACAAATTTAATAACTAATAAATAAAAATACCTATACCACACAATATAGTTGCCATTAATTAAATATGATCCTCATTAAGAGTAAGTCTCTGAAAGTTAGAACGTTCCGTTTCATAGCAACAATGAGCCTTGTCTAATATTCAAACTCAGAATGCATGCATCTATGGGACATTATCTCAGTCTTATAAAAATCTGCTGATTGCTAAAATTTTGAATGAAGTGATTTACTAAAATCTAAAATGTCAGATTAACCTTGGAGTCAGCCAGGTTTTCCCCACCCTGAAATTAACAAGGCCAAATATTTTGGACATAAGTTTCATGCATACTCCCAAAGTCTATCCAAGCCAAGATATGAGTGTCTGTTTTTGCAATATTTGAAGTATGCCTTATTATAAATATGTTCTTCGTTGGACTGAATCCATCATGCCTCAAATTAGTTGTACACACAGAACTTTTTGAGAATTTCCATGGTGCCAAAGGACAATGGGTCACATTAAATGAAACTTGCTCCTTCAATATCTCTTAAATATATCCACCCTTTTTCCAAACTTGGCAGGTGTCAAGAATTTGGGATTTGAAATAACCACATTTGTAATTGTTCAGAAGGCAGATTATATTTTTTTTAAAGGTCCATAATGTTCAGCTACATTATGAGTCAAGCTGTATCTCCTCTCCAAAGTTCTCCTCTAGCTTGAAATGTAAAACAGGATATTGAGGGAAGGAGTTGGGGGTGGGGGGAGCAACCACAGCTGAATTATAGAGCATAAGCAAAAGGTTCCAAGTTCAACCCCCAGGAATTTCAGGTAAGGCTGGGAAAGAGGCCAGCCTGAAACCTTGAAGAGTCACTGCCAGTCAGTGTAAACAACACTGAAGCAGATGGACTATTAGTCTGACCCAGTATATGGCAGCCTTCCGAGTTTCATGACATTCTGCCCATATTGTGCATTTGCCAGAAGTGTTTCAACACTGATAGATTGCCTCCTCTTGCAGCAAAACTCTCAACAGTCTCTGTGTGACAGACCACCTTAACCAAGCATTTTTATTCGGTAAATATCTTCTGTTTGGGTCAATGATTTAAATTTAATTTTGCTTCTTGCAAACTTTCTGTGTGGTTGTTGTCTCTCATCCTTCTTTTGTTTCCAGGTGTCTTTGTTTTTGGGCGTGGGGTGGGGTTGATTTTCCCATCACAATTTGAATCCTTTTCTCTTCTGTGTCTATTTTTATATTCCCTAGCCTGCTCTGTTTATTGGACACCAAATAAAATCACTTGTCTTAATTTCCTTTATACCTACCCTGATAATCCAATAAGAAGTCATTGCAAATTAAACTCTTTTTATGATATACAGGACCCATATGCATAGCTTTTCAATTACTTTTCACTGAATTTCTACATATTGGCTCATGACTATGTCCCCCCCCCAAAAAAAAAATATATATTCAATAGTGTGGCACTTTCCACCTCAGTATACAGCCTCTTATAAACATACACAGTCACACTCAGTTCACCCATTTATTCTTTTCACTCATTCTCTGACCATTTTCATGCCACAGACACTTTGTCCTAGAACTTTTTGGAGAAAGAGAAAATCAAAGGTGGTATATAAAAATAGCAGAACTATATTGGAGTAAAGACCTTCTCTCTCCCTCTTCAAGGTCTCTCTGAGTAAGAAGTGGTTTGGCAGGCAAATTGTTGATTCTGTATTGTAGCCTTTTTCCATTGTACGGAGCAGGTGTTTTTCTTACTCTAATCAAGCCTCTTTTCTTTCTCCATTAGAGCAATTTCCTGTTTTGTTTTCTGCAACTCAGCCATCAAAGCTTGTGGTACCTGATGTAACCCTCACAATGCAACAAAATAAAATAAAAACCATTTTATTGCCATTTGTTTAAGATTTGCCTTTCCTAAGCTTCTCAAAATGTTCCTGAAACATCAGGAATGTATCTTCCTACTAAAAAAATCCCTGGTTCTCATGTGTCTCCTCCTTTTGATTTAAAATATGCCATTGATGGTGGATCTAAACCTTCTGACAAAACATTTAATTCCAATTCCTTCATCTTAATATGGCTAATTCTGTGTAGTTTAGCACTATTTGCAGCAAAACAGATCTACAAAAACAGCAACATTTTAACACAAGGCTAGGAATCAAGTGTATGATGATGACCACTAGTTTAGCTTGAATCATAATGATAGAGTGGTCTAGGCATTGCTGCATCCAACACCCTGTTGCTTACACTATCTGAGGTGGATGACAAGGTGGAGGCCAAACCCTTCTTTGTGTTGCACTAGTCTGGATGACAGCCAATGCCATCAAGTGATCCAGTGGGTCCTGAGCTAGCTCATACCATCTCCATCACTGGAATGCCCCATTTTGCAGCTTTTTGTGGGCTACTGCTGCCAAGAATCCAGCTGTGGTTCCATGCCAGTGGATGTTGCTCAAAGGCAGCCTCCAGCTGATCTATTTTGGGATGGTTGGAGGGGAGACCCTAGTAAGGTGAAACAGAGGTTTGGATTGCAGTGATAGACAAATAATGAAGGATTGAGCTAACATTCTCTATTAGCCATGATTGCATCTACTGGAATCCCATGCTCAGAGGCAGACACCATACACCTAAATTGTTTTTTAACACAAAATTCATGTAAATAACCAATTGGTTTCTTTTGATTCTGGCCCTCTGTTGATCACAGACCTTAGGCATATTGCCCATCACCAATCCATCTGAGGCAGCAAAGTGCTTAGAACATTCTTGGGGATTTAAAGCCAGTTAAATCCCTGTACTCAGGACTAAGTTTAAAACATACAATTGACCTCAGATCAGCTTAACTATCTTAAATCCAATTGTTTCACGTTGAAGTTGCAAGGCGTGCCACTGTTCACCCCTAAAGTGAGAATCAAGACGTATTTGTAAATGAAAGTTCGACTCTGAACTCATTTCTAAATCAAACTGATTCCAACCTTGAGTTTGAAAAATCCAGAGTAAACTGCTCCTCAGCTATTTAAATTAAAAGTGAAATGTTTTTCATCTTGTAACTTAAGTTGCTGTCTGGATCTGAAGCAATACCTCTACAAATGGGGACCAGATGCTCTCCAGTGGTGGGTCAATTTCTATGAGAGGGATCCAGGAGCTTAACTGGTACATGGCTTGGGACAATTTGGCACATGTAGCAGATGGGGAATGATATGGCCGTTTCCCGCAAGAGATGCCCACTAAATGAGGCTTTGGTAGAAAAATAATTCCTTTCAAGCCCAAAGGTTTACAGTTTACACCAACATTCCATTCTGTAGCCGTTTCCCAGAAATGGGTTTAAATGCTCTTTTTCATTTGAGCTCTTATTCCCCTGTTTGGAATTCCATTTGGAAAGTACACACATGCCGCTGGTAGTAGCTCTCATGACAACATTCTTATCAATTCATCTTATGTAGCTCATCATTCTTCAAATACTTTGTCTCTTAACTTAATAAAGACAGGAAGCAAATCGTTCCAACTCTCTACTTGGAGTCACGCATTTTGGTATTTGTTTATGTACCCACGGAGATAAAAAATATAGCATGGTTTTGTTTTTTTAAAATAAAAATGAAGAAGAATATGTCCTTAAACTTCCCAAGTATCCTGATTGTCCCTTGTCAGTGTCTTTTTTTAAGAAAAAACTATGATCCAGAGCAGACACCAGGCATCAACATTGGGGGGCATTTGCTGAGACACATAGCCCAGTAGAAAGCAGCAGTACTTAGGACAGAGGTAGGCAACACTGGGCCCTCCATATTTTTTGAACTACAGATCTCATCATCCTTGACCATTGGCCATCCTGATGGGAGTTGGTGTTGCCCAACAATATCCAGAGAGCATTCCAATCTGCTGGCCTTGCACTTTCTCCTTCCTGCTGTTGCTGCCTGCTGTTCACCTGCTTCTGTAAGTGAGTGAGCAGTGAAAAGAATGAAGATGTGCAGTTGTCTCCACACACCTTGTCCAGTCCTTCTGGGAAGTGGTGTGGAGCTGGCTTAGAAAGAGAAAGAATCAAATGGGCACTGATAACACAAGCAAGGAGGGTAAGATAGACACACTCAGGAGCGGGGGGGACACATTGAGAGCATCTTGTCTGAGCATCCCCCATGGAACTGGCAGTACTGTAGCTATTGTTGTTTAGTCATTTAGTCATGTCCGACTCTTCGTGACCCCATGGACCAGAGCACGCCAGGCACTCCTGTCTTCCACTGCCTCCCACAGTTCGGTCAAACTCATGTTAGTAGCTTCGAGAACACTGTCCAACCATCTCATCTTCTGTCATCCCCTTCTCCTTGTACTGTAGCTATTTTGTACCATTTTAAATTTTTTTAAGTGTATCGTCCCAACTCTAAGCTGCCAAGGCTAAATAGAACTGAATTCTGTCCTGTGTGCCTTCTCTTGCCAATGATTCTCCCCGCCTTACTCTTGAATGCTCCAAATTCTTTCTGTTCACCTTGCTTGTGGAAAATTATTTATTTACATTGAAATAGTATTATTGTTCTGCTGCAGTGAAATTTCCTGACAAGGTTACCAACCATGAAGATGTTCAAGATTATCTAGATCAATGTACAGCTGCTTACCAGTGCTCCTGTGCATTTAATTATGATCTTTGTTTATGTTAAAAATCTATGGCATGGAGATTTCTGATCCCAGCCCCCTTATACCAACTCTACAGTCTCTAATTATTCACAGCCAAGTTTAATGTGAAAAACAAATGTGCAATTCTAACTAGAATTTGTACTTCATGTTACCTAGCATTCTTATGGCTGTTTTTTAAATATAAATAGCAAGCTATATTGTATTCTGAATTTGGGGTGTATCAGAAATATCCTCTAACAAAAGTTGGTTTTGTCATCTTTTGGTGGTGGAATATCCCTGGAAATCTGGAGAACAGGATGAATTTATGCAATGCTGAATATTTTGATGTACGTGTTAACAATTAATAACTCCTAAATGGATGTTATTTGAAGCATCTTGGTCTGATTATCAGTGATGAGTGGCTGTTTGTTTCAAAACACGTCTCAAAGAGTTGTGGACTCCAGCAGGGCTGACACCTATAGCCGTGCAAAGAGCACCAGCTGATTTGTGGGGAAACGCTGTGAAGGCATTTCTGCTTGGGGGCTGATCTCAAACAAATTCTTCCACCAGCTATTAAATGGGAGCTGCATGCTTGTTAAAGGTCATGAAAGCTTCCTGCCTCCTTCCTTCATGAATGGAAACCTCTCTCTCACTTTCACTTCAATGTACGCATTGTTTGGACTGTGATAGCTCAGCCCAAACAACTTTTTAGTGGAAGTGGGATATTGTTTGCCCAAGACATTTGTCTTGAATATGTCTATCTGCCTGGTATAATCCTAGAATTTTCAAACAGTTCCTTTTTGCTCTTTTCCAGATGTAAAGTGGCATGCAACCTGGATCTACTGAAGCTTGAAATTTAAACCCAAAGTCTTTCCTGCTATTTCGTCTTATCTACGGAGAAACCAACTGAACCCTGTGACTGAATGTGCTTGTATCATCAATTTGCCATTTTTGTATAGAGGAGCATCCAAATTCTTACTCTTAAGCTTTTAAAGGTCTTGTTTTCAAACCTTTCTAGAAATTGACAAATTAAAAAGAGACAAATTACACATCTAGATGGCATCCACAATATTAAAAGTTATCAAAGGCAGCAAATGTGAAACTGCTGATCAAGAAAAATGTGTAATTTGTCTCTGAGATCAGCCCTTCTACCTTACTTTCTATCTTTTTATCTTACATATCCACCCTGTTTCCACACCTCTCCTCCACCTCCTTAATCCTTCCCTCCTTTGCCCCAGTACCCCTTGATGAGATGCTATCCTTATCTAATGCCTCCACATGCCCACCCTTTAATCTAATCTCACATATTTTCCAGTCTTAAATTTTAGATGTTCTCGCAACTTTAAAGTGAGGTCACCGTGGCATTCACATTCGCCACATCCAATCTGCTAGAATTATAGGCAGAGTAATGGGATGGACAAACAGTAATTCTCCTACTGCTGACAGGATCGCAGAGTCAATGATTCAGAAAGAAGGGACCCGATAGGATGATAAATAGGTGATGAAAGCTTCTACCATCTGGGATTCATTTATGCACCATATCGTCATACAAAGTGCAAAACCGCATAATAGCGGCTATGTTAGACAGTGTTTTTTAAGAGGACCAACTAAACAAGAGTTTTGCAAACACCCAGTTATTCTATCTTTTTAAAGAAAACCAGAGCAACAATCCCATTTCATTCAGTGATCTCTCTTATGAAAGGCATAAATGTTCACATCAAAGTTACTTGTTATTGTCATCTCTAGTGTATGAAAGTAGTGGTATAGAAGACACTTTGGACATAATACACAGGGGACATCTCCTGTTCTTACCCAACAATTTCAATGTGATGAGTTGAGTGGCCAAACATCAGTTAGTAGCACATCTGTCTTTGCATCCAGAAGATCTCTGGCATCTGGGAAGATGGATTGACTATTAAACCACTCTGAGAATTGTAACTCTGAGGAAAAAGCAGGTCTCCTAACCCTTAACACCATCATCATCATCATATTATTATTATTATTATTTATACCCCACCCATCTGGCTGGGTTTCCCCAGCCACTCAGGGCAGCTTCCAACAAACATCAAATATTAAAAACTTCCCTAAACAGGGCTGCCTTCAGATGCCTTCTGAAAGTCAGTTGTTTATTTCCTTGACATCTGATGGGAGGACGCCCCACAGGGCGGGCGCCATTACCGAGAAGGCCCTCTGCCTGGTTCTCTGTAACTTCACTTCTCGCAGTGAGGGAACCGCCAGAAGGCCCTCGGAGCTGGATCTCAGTGTCCAGGCTGAACAATGGGGGTGGAGACACTCCTTCAAGTATTTAGGGCTTTAAAGGTCAGCACCAATACTATGAATTGTGCTTGGAAATGTACTGGGAGGCAATGTCTTTCAGGACTGGTGTTATGTGGTCTCGGCGGCCACTCCCAAACTGCACACTTAACAAACTACAGCTCCCAGAATTTGTTGAGGAAACCATGACTGTTAAAAGTAGTATCATAATGCTTTAAATGTAAGGTGTGATTATGGCCAGTGATTGTGTGGAGGAGTCTTCCCCGTTTGTTTGTTTTTTAATATAAGATATTTATTAAAGTTTAAACATTCCAAAGAAAAGAAAAGAGAAACAAAAGAAAAATACAAGCAATAAACAATTACAAAACCTCAAAAACAAAAATACTGTACAGTAATACAAAATATCAACAATACAAAAAAGGCAAAAAAGAAAAAACAAAAGCATTTAAAACCCCTCAAAAAGAACAAACAAAAATAAAAAGGACCCCGTATTTTCATATCCTTATCTTTCATTTGCTTATTTCCTCGACTTCCTCACACCTCCTTTTTTGTATTCTAGTTCAATTAATTATTCCAGCAAGTTCTTTCCCTCTTTCTCAAATTTAGTTCCATAATTTATCTTAACGCAATGTAGCTTTAAATTTACACCTTTACCCAATGTCAATCTATTCATACTTAATTCTTTATAGTATTTCTACTAAAGTCATGTAGCTTCTTTCCAGCATCCTTCTAACATTCATTAATTTTAGAATATTTCTGTAAATATACTTTAAATTTTTTCCAATCTTCTTCCACCGACTCTTCTCCCTGGTCTCGGATTCTGCCAGTCATTTCCGCCAATTCCATGTAATCCATCAGCTTCATCTGCCATTCTTCCCTGGTAGGTAGGTCTTGTGTCTTCCAGTGCTTAGCGATGAGTATTCTTGCTGCTGTTGTGGCATACATGAAAAAACTCTGTCCTTCTTTGGCACCAATTGGCCCACCATGCCCAGGAGAAAGGCCTCTGGTTTCTTTAAAAAGGTATATTTAAATACCTTTTTCATTTCATTATAGATCATCTCCCAGAATGCCTTAATCTTTGGGCATGTCCACCAAAGGTTCAATTCAATGCTTCAATTTCATTACATTTCCAGCATTTATTATCGGGCAAATGATAAATTTTTGCAAGCTTGACTGGTGTTATGTACCACCTGTAGATCATTTTCATTAAATTCTCTTTTAAGGCATTGCATGCCGTAAACTTCATACCAGTGGTCCATAACTGTTCCCAGTCAGCCATCATAATATTATGTCCAACATCCTGTGCCCATTTAATCATAGCAGATTTCACCATTTCATCCTGAGTATTCCATTTCAACAGCAAGTTATACATTCTTGACAAATTCTTAACTTTAGGGTCTAACAATTCTGTTTCCAGCTTTGATTTTTCCACCTGAAAACCTAGTTTTTTATCCTGATTATATGCCTCCATTATTTGATAATAATGGAGCCAATCTCGCACTCTGTTTTTTAATTTTTCAAAGCTCTGTAATTTTAATCTGTCACCCTCTTGTTCCAAAATTTCCCAATACTTCGGCCATTTGGCCTCCATATTGAGTTTTTCTGGGCCTTTGCCTCCATAGGTGACAGCCATCTTGGGGTTTTATTTTCTAACAAATCCTTATATCTTATCCAGACATTAAACAGTGCTTTTCTTACAATATGGTTTTTGAACGCTTTGTGTGCTTTGACCTTATCATACCACAAATATGCATGCCAACCAAATACATTATTGAAACCTTCCAAATCCAAAACATCCGTATTTTCAAGAAGCATCCATTCTCTCAGCCAACAAAAAGCGGCTGATTCATAGTAAAGTTTTAAGTCTGGCAGGGCAAATCCACCTCTTTCTTTAGCATCAGTTAAAATCTTAAATTTTATACGAGGCTTCTTGCCCTGCCAGACAAATCTGGAAATATCTCTCTGCCACTTCTTGAAACAGTCCATTTTGTCCAAAATTTGCAGTGATTGAAACAGAAACAACATTCTTGGCAATACATTCATTTTTATCACAGCAATTCGGCCTAGCAACGATAGCTTCAAATTTGACCATATTTCTAAGTCTTTTTTCACTTCAGTCCAACATTTTTCATAGTTATCCTTAAATAAATTCACATTCTTAGCAGTCATATTGACCCCTAAATATTTCACTTTCTTAACCAATGTCAGACCTGTCTCCTTCTGAAACTTCTCTCTCTCAATCACATTTAGATTTTTCTCCATAACTTTAGTTTTCGTCTTATTCAGCTTAAAACCTGCTACCTGACCAAATTCTTGAATCAATTCTAATACTCTTTTCGTACTTGATTCTGGCTCCTGTAAAGTCAATACTAAGTCATCTGCAAATGCTTTCAGTTTGTACTGTTTAGCTCCCACTTGTATACCTTTAACCAATTGGTCCCTTCTAATCATATTTAACAGAACCTCCAGGACCGAAATAAAAAGCAATGGAGAGATTGGGCAGCCCTGTCGTGTTCCTTTCTCAATCTTGAATTCTTCCGTCACTACATTATTCACAATTAATTTAGCCTTTTGTTCTGAGTAAATTGCACCTATGCCATTTCCAAAACCTTTACCAACCCCCATCCCCAATAAATTCTTCTTCATAAAACTCCAAGAAATATTGTCAAAGGCTTTCTCCGCGTCCACAAAAATCAGAACTGCTTTAGTGTTAATCTTCACTTGTAGCTTTTCTAGAATATTAATTATATTCCTCGTATTATCAGACAAATGCCTGCCCGGGAGAAAGCCCGCTTGGTCTTTATGAATTTCTTCTGCTAGCACCTTTTTTAATCTTTTAGCCAAAATGTCTGCAAAAATTTTATAATCCACATTAAGCAGTGATATGGGACGGTAGTTTTTAAGTTGCGTCTTTTCAGACTCTGATTTTGGTATAAGTGTAATGTATGCTTCTTTCCACGACCCAGATGCCCTTTTCCCTTCCAGTATTTCATTACAGACTTCCTTTAATGGTTGTATTAACCATTCTTTCAAAGTTCTGTAGTATCTAGAAGTCAGTCCATCCGGTCCTGGAGATTTACCTAATTGCATATTCTGAATGGCCCCTTCTACTTCCTGATCCGTTATTTTGTAATCAAGCATTAATTTATTTTCTTGGGAAATTTTTTGTAGTCCATTTGTTTCCAGAAATTTATCAATGTCCATTTCATTCTGCTTTTCTTGTGTATATAATTGTTTGAAATACCTCTGGAAGCACCTTCTAATTTTAACTGAATTTTTTATATTCTTTCCTTCCACTTCCAGATTCGTGATAGTATTTAATTTTTGTCTTTTTTTCAATTGCCAAGCCAGCAGTTTCCCACACTTGTTTGCCGATTCAAATGTCTTTTGTCTCATCTGTTTAATCTTCCATTCTATTTCCTGGTTCATCATTTTCATATATTGTACTTGGTAAAGCTTTATTTCTTTTAAAATTTCCTGGGACTTTGGTTTCGCCCTCAGTTTCTTCTCTCCTTCCTTTATTTTTTCCAAAATTTTATCTTTTGTCTCATTTTGCATTCTCTTCTTAATTGCATTCCGTTTTGATATACCCACAATGCTGCCCCTAGAACACTCTTCCCTATGTCCTTCCTACAGAGGTTTCTGTCATATTTTTGCATTTAAAATCAAGCACTCTAGCTCTCCCATCTCAGCTCAGAGGCTTCAAGCATTGGCACATAAATGTCTCTGGCAAATGTGTTTTCCCATATACCCACTACAACCCTTTAGTAGGGATCTAGAAATATATAACATATATAACATATTGCCATATTGACAGCTAAGGGCGCACATATACCATCTGTGTCTGCCCTTTTGGCAGGGAGATGTGAGCGGCGATGAGTTTTGGATACATATTTGCACTGTGTCCTCTCACTGGCTAACCACATTTGAGGTATAAAATGTGCTTTGCTTGGCCTGTGTAACTGAGAAGTATCTTCTCCAAAAATGGGAGTTAGTCTGATTGTACATGCCTGCTATCTATTACAAATGTAACCGTTTCCTGCTCCTTGTGCTGAAAGACGACAGCCAAGAGGCCTGAAATTAACAATAAAAGGCTTTTTGGACTGGCTGCATATTGAGATTTTTTCGTAATCTCCTCTGTTGTTAACCAGTTGAGTGTTTAATCAATTCTACAAGGCTCAGCCTTTTTGCTTTCTTTCTCATTTCAGAAAGGATTTACAGTGTTTAGTGTCTTAGCTATAGATATGTTAATGTGATTGCCAAGTATTCCCTTTAATTCTTACTTATTCTATGCCTCTTATATGAAACTTTGCGGACTAACCAACTGTTAATAGTATGTTGCTTCCAATAAAATCTGAAGACATTTGGCTGCAACGCTTTGCCAAGCTGGTACATATACAGCTCCATTTTACCATATTAGGTCACAGATAAAAGAATGATAACTACAGAACTGCATGGCCTAGTTTTTTTCTACTCGTAGGTCATGCATCGTGTAGAATATTCCCTGTGGGGATAAATGTTCTTACTTCAATTTATGGGATTTTGATCATGCTTTTCAAAGTATATTTTCATTCAGCTCAGCCTTGTTCAGTGAACAACCTTAGTGGCTCACTAAGAGAGCACAGAACAGGATGGTAGACATAAGCTTTCACTTCCTATTTGGGGCATGCATATGATGCAGAGAAATATATTTGATGCATGCTATTCTAAACATCCATTTTAAAAGTTACCAGAAATGCTCTGACAGTGCATTTTCAGACTTTTATTCACCAATGGAGAAAATACAAGTTTTTAGAATGAACCATATTTTTAATACGATGGTGTGTATAGTCTTGACAGCTTCTGAGAGACAAAACAGAACTGATATATCTGCTTTTACTATAACAGATGGGGACATTTTTCTATGTTGCTGATGTCATATTGAACGGGAGGGGGAGCAAAGGGAAGGACGGAATTATTTCACTGCCTTTGTAGATTTGGCCCCTTTGACAGACACAGATAAAACAAATAATCCCTGTTTTTTAATTTCACATTTTATTTCCTTAGCACTTAGATAATGTCTCATTTACTTTGAGCCAGAAGTGCATTAGCATCCTTGTTCGTGGATCTGCTAAGGCAGGGCTAGACTTGAAGTCACCCATGCCTTGATAAAATAAGCAACACACCAACACCTTGCATCTGGGGAAAAGAAGGGAGGCACTGCAAGGCTGAAAGGAAAACCCCTTTGGAAAAATTAGCACTAAATTGAAATGGAGGGCACTGCTTGATGAATGCTTTCATCTCCTGCTTAATTAGCTCCCTCTTTTTCAGTCCTGGCTGCACTACTTTGAAAAAGGTATAAATCTGCTCATGGTGGGGCAGGTGTTGGGAGGATGTGACAATGTAAGTAATTTTTTATTTATACCCCGCCCAAGACCGGGCTCAGGGCAGCTAACATCAAATATCAAATATATTAAAACACAATGAAACAATTAATTAAAATACAGCTTAAAAATTAGAATCAGGATAAAATTAAATGATTGACCACGAATTACAACCATACGGGTTGGGAACCTCAAGTATTCATCAGGGCCAGCTATCCATGTTGGTCCCACATGAGCTGAGAAAAAGGCCAAAGGGTCCCATAGAGGGGGGTCAAACTGGGCCTGGACTGAAGGCCAGGCGGAACAGCTCCGTCTTGCAGGCCCTGCAGACGGATGTCAAGTCCCGCAGGGCCCTGGTCTCCTGTGATAGAGCGTTCCACCAGGCTGGGGCCAAAGCCAAAAAGGCCAAGGCAACTAGGCCATTACACTTTCATGTTGGAATGTGCATACAGAAATGCATCTCCTGAAATTCATGCAGTTCAGAGAATGATTGTTCACCTATACCCAGAGAACCTACAAGAGCAGAACTACTGCAAACCATGCCCCCAACTTCAATTCTGCACAGCTGGTCCAGTAAGCTACCATGGTCAATGGTATTTTTTAAAAAAACATCCACTGAGAGATCCAACAGAACTAGCAGGTTCACACATTTTCATTACCATCCTAATCTGTCTCATGGAACAGGTCAACCAACCATTAAGGTACCCAAAACTGCTTCAGTCCCAAACCCTGGCCTAAACCCAGAGTTCAGAATCACTCTAGATAATCTGTTTCCTCTAAGAATACACAAAGCTTGCCCAAGAAGATATTAGTAACTGTTGTGGTAGCTCTAATATTCTTCCAGATCTGGGAAGGTTCTCTTCCAACAAAACAGGGTATTTAGCACCCTCTGGATAGGCCTAATCAAGAGTAAAGGCTACATGTGGTTAGATAGATTGATTCAAGCATCTTCTTGTCCACTTCCTCAGATAGTGACAACTGAAAATAATCCCACAAAATCTAACTAGGTGGTGCTCTAGGTGCCTCAATTGTGGCATCAGGCTCAGAGCCGATACTTGCAAATTCCCCTTCAAAATGCTTTGTGAATTCACCACAGCAGGTGACCAAGGGTTCTATTCCACTTCTCCCCAGGCCAGACCCCACAACAAGCTCTTCACTCAGGCCGGCCTATTTCAGTGACTACAAATCTTCTGGAAACAGTTCTATGGCTTTCATGGCAGCCATGAGGTTCAAGCAGGTCTACTTAAGGTGTTCCGCACATGGATATTGAAACCCTCCAAGTGACATGCAGATTCCATTGATCACCACAATTGGACTCAGTTTGTGTGGGATGGTTTTGAACTGTTTGACTTATTTATTTACACTATTTCTATACATATTAGGGGACGCGGGTGGGGCTGTGGGTTAAACCACAGAGCCTAGGACTTGCCGATCAGAAGGTCAGTGGTTTGAATCCCCATGACAGGGTGAACTCCCGTTGCTCAGTCCCTGTTCCTGCCAATCTAGCAGTTCGAAAGCACGTCAAAGTACAAGTAGATAAGTAGGTACCGCTCCGGCGGGAAGGTAAACGGCGTTTCCGTGCGCTGCTCTGGTTCACCAGAAGCGGCTTAGTCATGCTGGGCACATGACCGGGAAGCTGTACGCCAGCTCCCTCGGCCAGTAAAGCGAGATGAGCGCCACAACCCCAGAGTCAGACATGACTGGACCTAATGGTCAGGGGTCACCTTTACTATACATATTGTGTGTGTGTGTGTGTGTGTGTGTGTGTACACACACATCTATAGAAAACTAAAGCAACAACAGACAACTCAAACAACAAATTTAAAAATATGCAGTTAACATATGAAAATAGTATTAACACAAAATTACTAATGAATATGAACCAGCCTAAATGATCTCAACTTTGGACACACCCTCCCTCTCAGCCTCCTGGCTCTCACCAAGGGTTGAAACAAACTCCCAGCACACCTGCAAAAGCCTCACAAAGAGAAGGGTTGATGCTGACATCATTCTGGTCTCCCACTTTAGGCTTGCTTTTTATGGACAGGCACTAAGGTGGATGGAGCTTCCTCAGGCTGCCTCCAGCATTCTCTGCATGCACTTCCAGGTACAGCAGGTTTGGTGAGTTTCCCAGGGAGTCCCAAGGGAAAGGCATCCCTCCATTCTCAGTTCTTTCTCCACCCTCTTCCCCTTTCTTCTCCAGCTGCTTTAATTTATTTAATTTCTCTTTTTATAGAATGGTGCGTTTTTTTGTTTGTCTTTTTACTATTACAGATAAATATGCCATGGCCAAGTTTTAAATCCTAATTTTACTTTTTCAGGGGTTCCTGTATTCCTCCCATCTCTTAATGCAAAACAAAAGCCAAGAAAGAATGTGAGTGTGTGTGTTGCTGTTTTGAATAGTTCATGTCTTGACACATCTTCCAATTGTGTCATTTGGCAGAAACCTGGACTGTTTTAAAAAAGAATTTTTATTAAAGGAAGGGACGGAAGGAATAGACTGAACATCTTTAAAAGTGTTCTTTTTCAAAGTTGTTGAAAAACTCTATAAAAGGCTGTTGAATGAGAGGTGCATCTGTTTCTATAGCACCTAAGAGTTACAGAGGGTTGTACTCAACAATGTCTTCGTGCAAGCAGAACAACTTCTGCTATTTCCTGCCATCTCTTTCCCTCTCCAGAAAAAACCTGTTGTCCAAAGTATTATATAATCTAAGCAAGAAATATGGAAAAAAACTGCAGGGCGGGGACACACACACACACACACACACACACACAAGAATATTCAATTAAATGGTAGACTCCAAGTTAGTATAGCGAAATTAATACTAACGGTTGATTGCATGTACTATACTGCATATATTTTACAATCATGGTTAATCTGCAGGTAGTTATGCTTTACGGGGTTAAGAGACTGGGCCAGGTCGTTATCTCCCCCAGTTTTCATGGGGGCACATTTAACCTGATGTCACCTGATGTCATCATTATGTCAAGTGACCTGATTTTGCCTGCATTGTTTGAAATCCAACCTTGTGTAGCATTCTGCAAGCACTCTGGATCTTCTGGAATGCTATGCATGGGGCTTCTCAAAACCCAGCCAGATCAGCTGATTTCTGGAGCTTATGCAGCCAGGTACACTGGGCTTTGCAGATGCTGATTGATGGTTCCTGCACACCTCCTTTGGACTCAGCTGTGTCCTTACCTGCTCAGCACATGACATCAGGTGCTCATGGCTTGGCCGAAATGGTAAGGCCTGCTTAGGCTGAAAGACCTGCTTAGGCTCGCAGCCTGGAGGTTCCTCACCTCTGCCACGGTAGTGTTGCTGTGTCTCTGAAAGCACTGCTGAATATTTTGGTAGTGGGAGCAAAAGGGTGGTGTGGTGGGTGGGTGGGGGGAGTACTTTCAGGCCCTAATGAAATACTTGCCTATGTAGCATATTCCTCCATCAGATTACAACACATTGAATAGATTCTGCATTGTTAGTTATAAACCAGCAGGTGGCATTAAAAATTGGTCCTGAATCCAGTTCTGCAACTCCTCTGTGCTGGACGGTGGACATTTTGTTGTTGCAGCTGCTATCCTATGGATTTGAGGATGGCAGTGCATGGAATATGAAAAGGATGCCTTTTTAAGCACATGAATCTCATAGCTAGAGTGAAATCGGAATTAAACTATAGATGCTGTTTTCATTATTCTGACAGCTTCATAAAGGCAGAGGTGATCCTTAAGATAACTTGGCCCTGGGTTTTTTTCTCTCATTTTAACCCTATTCAGAAATTATTTTCTCTCTGGAATTCAGTTCGCAATCAGAAAGAAGCCCTGGACTTCTTGATTTTTGGGAAATCCAGATGCCAGGCTGCACTCCTAGGGACCTGAAACCTTCTGACTGGCCCTTCTGGGCCATGGCAATTCTTGATGGAATCTTCATACATTACATTGCTTAGGTGATTGCATTAAGTTTTTAAGCGTTTCTTAACTACGTTACAAACAGGTGTTTGAAAATATGTACAGTGGTACCTCGTGTTAAGTACTTAATTCGTTCTGGAGGTCTGTTCTTAACCTGAAACTGTTCTTAACCTGAGCTACCACTTTAGCTAATGGGGCCTCCTGCTGGTGCCGTGCCGCCGGAGCACGATATCTGTTCTCATCCTGAAGCAAAGTTCTTAACCTGAAGCACTATTTCTGGGTTAGCGGAGTCTGTAAACTGAAGCGTATGTAACCTGAAGCGTATGTAACCCGAGGTACCACTGTACATCATATACAGATACTAATCAGAGAGCCAAGATTGGCCACACTTCTTTTTTGAGGGTACAGTTGGTGGCAAGCTTAGCTTTCTTACTGGGCAATGTGTGAAACTGTCCGTGCTTTGCAACAAACAGCTATCATCAAGGCTGCAACAGGACCCTTTCCAGACTGATTTTATTCTGCTCAGGCTTGCCATCCAGATAGCAACCACTGAATGATATCATTCTACTCATTGTCTTCTAATTGTTGGAACTAATTTCTTCAAATTAAATTGCAGTGCATGGATCGAACAGTGAGCATTAATCTCCTAACACTGCGAGCTTTATCAACATCCATGAAATAGCCCCCTAAAAGCCCTAACAGGCAAAAAAACAAAAAAATTTCAAAAAAATACTTGTCAAGTCTTGCTATTAGGGATTGATGTCAGGGCTTGATAAAAATGAAGTAATTGTATTTGCGGTGAGGGGAGGGGGTCCTTTAGAAAATTACTGGTTCTGTCTTTATTCTTTGTCTTTCATTAGACACATTAGCCAGTCATAATTTGGCTTTTACTTTCACGTCTATCACAATGTCCTTTTTGTGTTGTTAGCAAAGTGGAAGATAAAAAAATAGAGAGCAGAAATTTCCCTATATTTTTGTTGTTGTTCAAGTTACTTTAGCAAGCCAGGGCTTTGCTGGGGTTCATGTACAGTGTTAATCACCAGTGCATAAATTTGTGTGTTATGACTTGTAGAAGTAGATCTTCCCATGCACATTCTTAGCACACACCCCAATGTTTCAAATTAATAACAAATTAAGGATGTTGTAAGTGGATTAATCCTATGATATGCATTCCAATGCCTCTTTATTTTTTTCAGGAATCATCATGTCCTTTTAGTGCTTTTGCATTCCATCTCTTCAGATGTAAGGCCACTGAAGGATACCCACATTTATGGAGCATAGTTAGTGGGACGTGGGTGGCGCTGTAGTCTAAACCACTGAGCCTCTGGGGCTTGCTGACCCGAAGGTCGGTGGTTTGAATCCCCGCGACAGGGTGGGCTCCCGTTGCTCTGTCCCAGCTCCTGCCAACCTAGCACTTTGAAAGCATGCCAGTGCAAGTAGATAAATAGGTAGTGCTGCGGCAGGAAGGTAAACGGTGTTTCCGTGCGCTCTGGTTTCCGTCACAGTGATCTGTTGTGCCAGAAGTGGCTTAGTCATGCTGGCCACATGACCCGGAAAGCTGTCAATGGACAAACGTTAGCTCCCTCAGCCTGAAAGCGAGATGAACGCCACAATCCAAGTCAGCTTTGACTGGACTTAACTGTCAAGGGGTCCTTTACCTCTACCTTGACCTTTGCATGCGTTCCTGGTGGAGAGAATGAGGAACTTAGAATTCCTCAATTGTAGACTTGGAAGGGATCCCAAGGGAACTAGTTTATTTTATTTTATTTTATTTTAGCATTTTTTTATTGAAAGTTTTCCTCATACGAGATAATAAAAAAAACACTAATCTAAGTAAAAGGGGGGAAAAGGAAAAGGAAAAGAGGAGGAGAGGATAAAAATACAAAGCCCTCTCTCAAAGGTAAATCTTAACTCTTGTCTGACACAAAAGGGGGTGGACGCTCCCAGCTCTCACCTGGGAGCTTCCCATTCTTTCCCTAGCCTTCCACCCTAGGAGATCTTCCTTTCCCTGGGAGAATGAGGAGCATGTTCACATGGCCAGTTACATTGATCAAGGATAATAATTCTGTGGCTGACCTTGTTGTTGCTCTTGTTTTGCTTGTTCAAAGTGAGCTTGACAAAAGCTGACAAAGAGCCATGTAACACCTGCCAGTAAAAATCCAGGGTTCTTGACTCATATTAGACTTTTTGGTCCTAGAATAAGGGTAAATCAGACCATCACTCAATCAGTCATCATGTGGAGATCGACATGTCTGTAAGACCTGGATGTGAGGAAAGGAAAGCATTGCCAGACATGGAAGCATCCTTTTAAGATCTGGAGATTAAGTTGCAGGTTCATCCCAAGCCCGCAGATGGGGGCTTTTCCATGCTTTGAGATCAACCAGACACAAACATTTTAAGCATGAGTGTGCTGGATAATGATATACTTCAAAAGAAGCATATTCATTGCCGCTAAACAAATTGCCACTGGAAGGTGGAGGGAGCCCTTTAGCAGTCATTTGTATTCTTTGTGGTGCAGCCCGTGGAGTAGGATAGAGATGTAGAGTTGCTGGAGCTCATTTCAGTGGGGCTGGGGTGGTAAGGGTGGGGCTGCAAAATCCAGTGCTCTTGCCAATGCACTCATGAAACCCCATCTCGCTCCCACCTACCCCTGCCCCGTCCCCATCCAGGTAAGCTGCATTTACCCTGACATCAGGACAAAGGCTCTGCTCAGCACACAGTGAGTATTCTTCTGCTAGTTACACTACGACATACTTATGGGTGCACATGGATGTCGGGAGATGGCACATAGATGCTGTGAGTCAAGAGCATGCTGAGAGCATTCTGGAGCTGGTGGGTGCTTTGAGGTACCTTTGGAGTCGTTACTTTTGCTTGATACACAAATTACCTTGGTGACATGGAGATTCGGCTGCTGGCCTCTGCATGGAAAGGGGTAGCTTAACTCCTATAGCCTATGCTCTGGCTATATCTAGGTTAGAATACTGCCTTTGAAGATTCTTTGGAAACTGCATAGAGAAATGGGAAGAATTGAGTAAATAGGAAGGAAAGTGGCAGAAGCAGTAAATCAGGGATTCTGTTCCACCAGTCAGATCCTTATCAGGACTGGCCTCAGAGGCCAAATTTGGCAGGTGGGCGAGGCTGTGCAGCTGTCAATCACAAGACATCACAATGACATCATGAGCAGGTGACCATTTTTTTTACAGATGGAATACAAACAAAGCAAGTTATTTAATCTGAGTTTTAGTTTTAAGCAGCCATGTTACAATAAATTGTCATCTGATTCCACCCTAATGATCATATTGGCAATAGCTAAGTTTGCCAAGGAGAATGAAATTCAAAATTCCACTGAGATGCACAGTGACCTGGGAGTAACAGTGATCCAAGATAGTCAGCAAGATGATGCAGCCAGCATTTCTTGATGTATAGAAAGAGTTGTCTCCAGATAATACTTATCTGCAAAGTTTTTTCTCCTGAACATGTTCTCACTGAGATGGCTTGTTGTACACATCATCATCATTTACAAATGGCATTTTTTCACATTTCCAGACGTGCTTATTGACTCGCAGAAATATGCATTTGCCTTTAAATTTTTAGGTGAAATGTGACCTTTTTGTTTTTGGAGGAAGCTGGCACCTTTTAGGACCTTCCATGAAGAAACTCAAAGCAATAATGAACAGTAGCTGTAAAGTAAGTATTTCCATTTAGGAGAGCAAATTTAATAATGTGCTGGCAATTTACTCTTGCCCTATAGAGACCTGATTATGGACCTCCTCTATGTTCTTTGGACTGCATTATCCTGGATATGCCAAATAAATTTACTTGACCTACATGGAATCTAAGGCATTTGAGGATGTGATTGAGTGCATTCAGTGAGAGCCTGTGGGAAGTGGGTGGATTACTACATATTTAATTGAATGTAAAGTCTTGCCAGCTTCCTCACTGGGGTGAACAATGGCCAAAAGTTGTTATATATTAGCTGAATCCATTAATGAAATTTTAGGTCAAAATCGACAATATATTTTGAAAAGCTGTTTGTCCGTTCACTATGTTTACATTATGCCTATGTTTACTATTTGAAGAGCAATTGCATTTTCATGTGTCTTAATCACATTGGCTAGTGGAAAATAAGAGGAGTACAAAGATAATAGAACTGTAGAGTTGGAAGGGACCACATGGGTAATCTAGCCCAACCCTCTGCAATGCAGGAATTGTTGGCCCAAGGTGGGGCTCAAACGCACAACCCTTAGATTAAGAGTCTCATGCTCTACCATCTGAGCTATTGCTTATGAGATAGTCTGATCAAGATCTACTAGTCTGATGAATAGACTAGTCTGTACTAGATCTACTAGTCTGATCAATGCCAATCTATTGAGTTACTGATGTTCTCATCTTGACAATGACATGTTCTTTTTTTATAATCACTTGTAGCTGAGTAAGATTGTCTTCCATGAGTCCCTAAGTGACTGTGGAGGCCAATTCTGAATCCACATGTCCTTCCACAGTGGGGATATGGTTTCTGGGCAGGAGTTGATCAAGGTGAGGGTTTGCCAAGCGTGCCTTCCTCTTAGCACATTTCTCCCTTTCATCCTGAGTTTGAGCGTCTTCAAAGTCCATGACACCTTTGGTAAAGGCTGTTCTCCAATTGGAGCGCTTGCAGGCCTGTATTTCCCAATTGTTGGTGTTTATACTACATTTTTTTTAGATTTGCCCTGAGAGGGTCTTTAAACCTCTTTCGTTGACCACCAGCATTATGCTTTCCATTTTTAAGTTTGGAATAGAGTATTTGCTTAGGAAGATGATAATCAGGCATCCAAACAACATGACCAGTCCAACGAAGTCGATGTTGAAGAATCATTGCTTCGACACTGGGGATCTTTGCTTCTTCCAGTACACTGGCATTAGTTCACCTGTCTTCCCAAGTGATGTGTAAAATTTTCAAGAGACACCGTTGATGGAATCTTTTGAGGAGCTGAAGATGGCATTTATAAGTGGCTCATGTTTCACAAGCATACAGAAAGGTTGGTAGTACAATAGCTTTGTAAACAAGCATTTTGGTTTCCCTGAGAATGTCCCAGTCCTCAAACACTCTGCACTTCAAATGGGAGAAAGATGCACTCACAGAGCTCAGGCAATGCTGGATTTTGGCATCAATGTCAGCCTGATTGCCATGTTATATACAATTAGTGGTACCTAAATCAAAGCAAAGGGCACTGCATCTGTTGCAACTTTTTTAGTGGCAAATGACATGAGACTGAAGCTTGATGGGACAGCTATGAAAAACAGGTTTCGAGGCTGAGGTTGAGGAAACCTCTCTTATAATGACAATGGCTCCCACCTATGAGGTGTCAGAACTGAGTTCCAGTGAGTTCCAGCTGGGAAAAAAGACCTAAATAGAGCTAATGCTTTAAATGTAAAGGTCAGTGCCTGTAGTCCATCCCATAATTCCACCACCTTGGATTCACACAGATTTCATTTGGGCCTCATGCATAACTGTGGTCTGGACTTCAGCCACTGACTTCCACTTTGTGCACATAAACATGTTTACTTGTAAGGGACAACATCTCTATTGTTCCTATTTAATTGCTACTGGCTTATATGAAATTTTCCATTTTTGAAAGATTCAGGAACATGCTACTCTAGGGCATTCTTATGCCAGTATTTTTTAGAAAATATATTCTGGCTACCATAGTACTTTTAAAATATAATGGTGGCCATAATATATTATCTTGAGCGATTGGGATCGGAACCAACTGCAGAAACAATATTTTTCAAGAAGCTACCCTTAAAAAAGCATCTGGCCTATATATCTTATGGGAATCTGCTAATATGCATTAATAATAATAATGACAACGTTGATGATGTTTGAAAGCTTTTAGGAGAAAGATGGGAACCAAATGATACCACCTCTAGGAGAGATCTCTTTCCTGATGGAAGAACCTTGTCCCCCAGCAGATCCCGATGGTAATCTTGTCTCGTAATTTATAATGTGCATCCTGGTATGGAGTCGATCCCAAGGAGACAAAACAGCACAATGAGCAAACCAATAGTTAAAACGGTAGATGGATGCTTACAGACCTCTTCACATTGTCTCATTCTGTGTAATAAGGCTATGCCCTTGCTGAGGCCCTGAGATTGACTTCCCAAGTTGGATATCTTGACATTTAACAGGGGGGAAATATACAAGAGAAAGCAGAACTCGCAGTGCAGTACCATGCACGTCTGTTCAGAAGTCCCACTGAGTTTGGCTGCGCTTACCCTCAGACAGAGTCTGTGTATGATTGTAACCTAGATGATTTCTTCCCCTCATCTATATATATCACCGTTTCAACACTGAACTCTATTCCCAGTTTATCACTTAAAATTTATTTTCGTTTATGTGCATTGAAGTATTTAATGGGTTTATTTTAGATGTAGAGAGAAAAAAACATAATAAATCATAAGCAACATTGTAGGAAATAATCTTGAACTCTGAGACACCCCCCCCCCGCCTCCACTGGATCTTGGCAGGATCCTTTGACAGCTGCAATAATAAATGCATGGTTTCCTTTGCATAAAACAAAATTGGATGGATTCAAAATATCTTGTGCCCTGAAGCAGTTTTGGACAGTTAGCATCTGCCCACACCTTTCAATAGTTGCTAGCAAAACGTGAAGGTGTCAATCTGGGCATTCTTTCTCTTTCCTCCCTGGCAAATTCTAGAAAGTTCCCCCAAACACTAGGAAATGAGCCAGAAACATCAGGAAGTGAGAGGAATGTGGGAAGTAGGATCCTAGATGGTGGCCTTTCCAAACCTCCTACATATTTAGTTATATGCTTCCTGTTTGGCCAATGAATAAGCGGCGGAGGCTGGTCCATATGGGCAAATGGGGCACTGCTCAACCATCCTTAGTCTGTCCTCAGTGTGCTTCCACAGGCCTGTCTTCTTACAACCAGTTCAGAGAGTGGCATTTCCTGTCAGCTTCCTCCTCTTAGTCTCAGTTTTGTGCCTTGTATGATTCAGCAGGGAGGAGGAGGTTGGAAACAAAACTAGAATTAGTTGACTCTGCCAGCCATTGACTCTGGCTCCACCTTCTGTTGAACTCCTTGTCTTCTTCCCCATCAGTTATTGTTGTTTAGTCGTTTAGTTGCGTCTGACACTTTGTGACCCCATGGACCAGAGCACGCCAGGCACTCCTGTCTTCCACTGCCTCCTGCAGTTTGGTCAAACTCATGCTAGTAGCTTCAAGAACACTGTCCAACCATCTCGTCCTCTGTCGTCCCCTTCTCCTTGTGCCCTCAATCTTTCCCAGCATCAGGGTCTTTTCCAGGGAGTCTTCTCTTCTCATGAGGTGGCCAAAGCACTGAAGCCTCAGCTTCAGGATCCCATCAGTAGCAACGGCCATAAGACAGGATGCATGCATGACACAAACTCAAGCCGCATGGGAAGGGACAGCTCCAGTAGCTACCAGTCTGTTTCTAGGCACAATTCAAAGGGATGGCTATGACCTAAAAAGACGTATAAAGCCCTTCTGTCATGGAATGGTGGGATGCAGAGGAATGGTGGGAAGAAGCAGCTGGGGAACTCCCAGAGGAAGATGCCTCAGAGCCAGGGGACTGGTGGTGGGATTACAATAAGTGGTCAGAGGCAGAAGAGGGAGAAGACTGGGAGGAGGTGTCAGAGGCTGAAAAGTTAACAGACTTATTCTGACAGGTTTCTGTTATATGTGGCGGATAAACGCTTTCATGCTTGGACCTGTTCCTGTCTCCATGGTTGGTTGTTGTATCTATTACTGGTGTGTTTGTTTTTTATTCATTTTTTGAATGTAGTAAGCTGCCCTGAGTGGTGCTTTTACCCCTGAAGGGTGGAATATGAAAGTATTATTAATATAAAACAAAACAATGCCAAATATAGACCAACAAAATAAAAAATGTTTTCAAAAATGGCTACCCACACTCCCCCCCCCCCCCATTTCCCCAACCATAGGAAGCTGCCTTATACCAATTCACACCACTGGTCCATGCAGCTCAGTGCTGCCAACACAGACTGGCAGTGGCTGTCCAGGGTTTCAGGCAAGAGTCTCTCTCAGTCCTGCCTGGAGATGCTGGGGATCGAAGCTGGGATCTTCTGCCGGCAAAATCTCTCTCCACTTCTTGAAGAATGATAAGAATTTCAGCATGGCCTCTCTCTCCAGAGGCAGCCTCAGGACACCTTTGTTCACAGTTACACACAGGTGCCTGACAGATGCTCCCCTACAGTCAATAGCAGATGGGGCGGTGGGGCGGCAGTGTTCACCTGACCTCCTGACAGCTGAGTCACTGCTGCTTACTGGGAAGGAGAGGGGCAAGGTGGTGGGGAGGCCAGCACAGTGCAAACACAGCGACAGAGCCAATATGGTATTCCTGGTGGTGTGTTTGCACCACGCTACGCTCCCTGCCACTTTGGCCCTCTCCATCCTTGGAAAGCAGCGGTGACTCAGCTGTCAGGAGACCAAGTAAGTGCCACCATGACATTCACTACTGCCTGTTGCCCTATACCATTTAGTTACAGTGTATGAGTCCTTCTCACAAGATTGTCACTCTCTCTTCCAGTGTGGTGGCAGATGGTTGAAGTTTACCACTGAAGAACCATTCCATTTCTCTCTGTGTGTTTATGTGTGTGTGCCTAGGACCTCACAATGAAAGCATCTTAAAATTGATGCAGCCATTATCTAATCGAAATGCAATAGATATCTGGCATCCACATGGGAATTTTATTTCTCAAGCTTTTAAAAAATCATTTTAAACAAAACAATGCCAAGCTTGTCTTATAAACATCTGTGGTAATTTTCGGGTGTGTGCAAAAAGGTCTTTCTACATAACTTTTTTTAGGAGCTTAAGGACTGAATTACTAGGGTTGTGTGAAACATTAGGACAGAATCCAGCTATGCCTCAAAGAGAAACTTTAGGAGCACATGCCAAGACACGCTTGAAGAGCAACATCTGGAAACTTTTCCGAAGGAGAGGTGAGCCTGCTAGGATCTCCCTACTCTCTTGCAATTTCCATTCCCCTTTATCCCTTCTGCATCTCAAGATGTCTGATTAACATCTTTACCACCCATTAGGACAATAAAGGCTTATTGTGAAACAGAGGGAGGAGGTTTATTTATCTGGGTATTTACAAACCACCAACTCACAAGAAAAATATTGTGGCAGTGCACAGCAAAAAGGCAATAGAAACCTAAAACGCAAGCCCAAATTAACAGCAATGAATGCTATAAAAAGGCTTGACAAAACAAATTTTTTTCCAGCAGATGAAACATCAGAATTGAAGGTACCTGTCTGGTTTCAATAGGAACAGCGTTCCAAAATACTGGTGCCGCTATGCTGAAAGCCATGGTTCTAATAGAAGCTAAATGAATCTGGTGAATGAAACTAGGTGTGTGATTTTGCTTTGGATGAAGTCCAGATCCAGAACTGAAGTGATTTGGGCTATGTCCAAGGTGAAGCAAGGTGTCTCAGGAGTGGCTTAAAATGAATTGGCCCCTTCCTGAAGCCTTGCGTACACCTTGGAGGCTTGGAGAGTACAGTCTTAGAATGTCTGTTAAAATGGGTCAGATTTGGCAGCCACAATGCTCTGAAATCTTATGTGACAGTAAGTGCAATGGAAGTCTGAGGGATCTTCTTTGATGTAGCCATGCGTAGGATCAAAGCTCATATATTCTTTGAATGCATTGTTTCTCAGTTTAATTACTCAGAGGACTCATAGAATCAGCAGCTAAAATAACTTTGCCTTGCACTGCCACATTTTCTATTGGAAAAGTGTTGCATTTTCAGGGACAAAAAATAAAGGGGTGCTCTCTAAATATCACTTTGATTTGTTAAATATTTGTCTGAGAAAATGGGCTGGCCTAAAATGACAAAAGGACTTCAAGATTTCAAGAGATCTGAACAGAATCCACACGAGGGAGCACTTGAGTCAGATCAGTGCAGTATAGTTGCAGAAAGGTACTATACAGAGGCCATCATTGAGAAAATACATGAGGATAGACTATAGGCAGATCCTATTGCTTAGCAGAAGTGCAATGGGTACATGGATCACAAAAGACACGGGTTACACACCAGTTTCTTTGTTTAATGAAAAGATGCTGCATAGTAACAAGGATTTCCCAATCTGCCAGAGATTCCTTAAGGGGAATGAACAGAACAGGTCACTTAATACATAAACATCTCTTTCATGCAGCAGGAAAAAGGTCATCCTTAAACACCTTTTGCTGTTGATTTTTTCATTGGAGAAACCATTATTACTACATGACATTACAGGAATGCACTAGGTTTAAACTACGCCCCCTTCACCAGTGGTACCATGCTGACAGGACAACCTGCTGTGGGTACCATGAAAACGGAAGCGTATCTCAATCTCCTCCAGCCTCCAGACGCTTGTACTACCAGCTCATGTGAACTGAAGTCCAAAACAGTGGGAGACCACCAATTTGGGGAAGGCTGGTATATGTGATATTACATATGCAGCAGCCATATTGCACATAGCTAGGCTGTCAACTGTGGACCAAGTAAAACAAAACTGATTACTGAGGACTGGAACGTCACTATGAACAACTGCCCATATTTGAATTGGCACCTTGTAAAGCCAAATTGAAATCCAAAGGGTAGTATTCAACTAAATCTTACTTAGAGTAGACCCAATGAAATTAATGGACATGACTAAGGCAGGCCTATTAATTTCAGTGGGTGTACTCAGAGTAAAACTTGACTGACTACACCCAATATTTTTATAAGCAACATTTCACACTGGGATCGAGAGTCCAGTTTCTACGTACTGAAACAGACTCCCACAAGCCGAATGACAATTCTCCTTGCACAAGACACACATGAAAGCAAATGCAAAGATATTGTTTCATTATGAAAATTGTTATATTTTTGAACTACCTCAAGGGGACTTTTTCATCACAGTATAAAATAAATAAACAGATAAATAAAAGCAGGGTCCATTTTGTATGCAGATGCACAATTCTTGGAGGGTATACATCAAATCAAGCTCGTTAACGTGCGGAAAACTGTGTGTTTGCAACTAGAAATGTGTATTTCTAGTTTGTGTATTTCTAAAAGTATTTATTCTCCCCACTCATGCTTCCATGGAACCCAGTTTAAAATCTTAGACCTACTCCAACAAGCAATACAGACAACTCTCAACTTATGCAGGAGTTTTGGGAAGAGCACATGAAGCCAAAATTGTGTATAGTCAAAACACATTGGCTGCAATGACAGGTGGCATTGCCAAAGTCTCTCTCCCCCCCCCCCCAGATGTGTGCCCCCTTTTCATTTTTTTAATTCAAAATTTGCCAAGTGCATAAAGCTAAATGTGCACAAGTTAAATACACATAAGTTGCAAGTTACCTGCATCTTGTACCTCTGGATCAAATGAAGAGTTTACAAGCATCTCCTTCCTGGCTTAGATTAACCACAGTTTCTTTTGACCAGGAACTTGGGTTATCTTTAACAATGGTTTATTGTAACAAACCCTACTTTAAACAAAGTTTGTTACTGTTGACATAACAAAACTTTTATTACTTGCTTGGTGCAAAGTTAAGCAGTCTTAAAGTCTCCAAAGGAAGTGCTTCTGAGAGTTCATGATGTAATAGCTAAATGCATTTCATTTATGATATCTTTTAATGATCAGAGCCAGAGCCTTCTCTTTGAAAGATTAGAATACTTCTCTGTCAGCTGCTTCTTCCTCTTTTGCAATAGTGAAAGTTCAACAACAATATAATGCCCCGTTCTTCACAGTTAAAACTAGACGTTTCCCTGGCAGATTACAAGACACAGCACAATTTGCTGCTATTTTTAGCTTCTCGAAAGATACAAAGAAGCTAAAGGTTGTTGTTTTCTGGACTTCCCACAGCTCACATTTAAATTAAGGGGCAATGCTCACTGCTTGGTGAGTGAAATATAGTTTGAGACTGAAGGTGGAGAACCTGTCTGTGGCTGTCCAGGTACCACTGGACTCCAACTCCCATCAGCTCCAACCAACATGGCCAATGCCCAAGGATGATGGGAGACAGAGCCAAGCAGCATCTTGGGGGTCACAAGTTCACACCTGTTTCAGATGATGGGGAAGACAAAGGGCTTCCACCTTATGGGCTAGAATAAGATTGGGATGCACAGCCAGTGGCTTCTTTCAACTGAGCTTGCTTTCTAAGAGGGGAAAACAAGCAAAACAAACTAGAAAGGGCAAGTACAACAAGTTTTAAGCTACAGGTCTCGGGGTTTGCACTGGCTAACAGAAATTACCTGCCCAGCTAACCAGCAGCTGCTGCTCCCTCCCGGACTGCAAACCTTCCATGAGATCTAGCTGAGCATCTTGTGTCGATCAAACACCGTCTTCCGCTGCTCCTGCACCTGACGCTTCCACCGTTGCTGGGCTCCCTCCACTCTCTCCAACACTGTGTTTGCCCGGGTGGCGGCCGAAGGGCGTATTGCTGCCAGTGAATGGGCATCCTGCAAGACCGAAAGAATGAACGCCTCAAGGATCTACAAAGGGGCAATGCATCTCAGAAGCATAGCAACAATGCTCAACAGTGACACATCAAAGGAAACCTGAAACAGGCTCCCCCAACTTCCAGTCCCCAGCTGTTGTTGGACTACAGCTCCCATCATTGCTGACTGTGCTAGCTGGAGCCACCAGGGCTTGTAGTCCAATAACATCTGGAGGCCCAAAATTGGGGAAGTCTGATTGGATTCCTTTTAAGTGTTGACACCTTTTGGCAAGCCTTCATGGAGAAAAACCACCTGGAGGATCTCTGCGGCCAGAAAGATAAAATTTCAATGAAACTTTTCCAGTTTTGCACAGTTGGGATTGTACGGACCGTGTGCCTGCAGTTTCAGCATTCATCATGCGAAGCAGTTATCTGGCACATCATGGAAGTTAAAAAGGTCTGGCCAATGTCTGGGAAAGGATTGCAAGCCACAGTAAGGTGAAGAAGGCCTCTGAGTGTCAGGGAGCAAAGCACTTTTATCTTTGGGGTTTTCAAAGGATTGGATAGAATATTGTCTGTCCTTTGGCGGGTGAGTCATAAATGTGATGGAATATTCCCCTCTATTCTGTTGCCCCTTTAGAATGCTGATTAAGTTAGCAGATGCTGAGGTTAGGACTCACGCCTCATGCAGTCTACTTTCGCCCCAGTCTGCTCATTATCAAGAGGAAGGCATCATGCTCACCTCGCTTTCCTCTTCATTGTGCAGGGGCTGGGTGTAGGCATCAGGCTTGCGGATGAGGGGGTCGACCACCATCAGAAAGACCATGTAGAGCAGAAGGGCTCCAATCACTGAGAGGTAAATGATGATGATGACCTGCCAAAGGTCAGCAAGGAAACTGGATGAAGCAATTCTTAAGCCATCAGGTTCTGCAAGTCACACAGCCTATATTGCAACATACGTCTCTTCAGAATGATTTAGGAAGCATGATGTGACAGTTCCAAGTTAACCTTCAAGTTAGCAGGAATTAAACAATCCAGAAGCAAACTCCCAACTAGTGGAAAAAAACCCCAGCTCATTTCGCTGCAACCCCCTTAATGTCAACAGGGTTCATCTAAGCTACAATTTCCAGAGAACCAGGGACTTTTGATGTGGCCACTGAGGCACAAGCTTGCCCCATGGACTTGTGCAGGACACACTACTCCTGCTTTAAACCCATGCATGTACCTCCAGCTATAAATTATTCAAGTTGTGGAGAAAGTGCATAGAGTTTTTTCTCTCTCTCATAATACAAGAACTCAGGGACATCCAATGATGCTGGAAGATTGGGGGCAAAGTATTAGCCTTGCAGTTAAACTATGGAATTTGCTGCCACCAGAGCCAGTGATGGCCACCAACTTGGACGGCTTCAAAAGAGGATAAGATATATTTGTGGAGGATAAGGCTAGCAATGCAGCCATGATGGTTATGTTCTACTTCCACTGTCAGAGGCTGTGTAACTCGAAATACCAGTTGCTGGGAATCACAGATGGGGAGTTGCACTCAGGTCCTGCTTACAGGCTTCCCATGGGCATCTGGTGGGCTGCTGCCTGATTCGAGTGCTGGAGAAAAAGGGGCGCTTGGCCTCATCCAGCCGGGATCCTCTTATGTTTGTAAAAGCCACATGAGAACCAGTGGACTAAATCTTCAGAAATTCAGAAATGGTTGGGACAACCATTAGCGCTATGTCCTTCATGGGTAGACCCTCAACCCTACTCATCCAAAATTCCCAATGGCCACAATTCTGTTCTATACAGTGAGAAGGAGAGGCAGTGCAAAGGCTCGTCTTGTCTTGTACCTTGATGGTGGTGGTGCTTCGCTCTTCATACTTGCACTCACACAGCAGGCAATATGCCTCGACATCATTCCCCGGCACAGGCATCGGCTCCACCACATGCAGGCAGTTGCTGCAATGATGGCAAGAAATGAGCATCAACAGTGGGAATCGAAGCTCTCCTCTGTCACGGAATGCAGCAGGAATGGCTGTCACCTGTGACTCTTCCATTCCCATCAGCCCCAGCTGATTATCAGGGTTAGTTTATTATTTATTTTATTTAGCAAGCGTTATATATGTCGCCGAATGACAGGCCAACCAGCTCTAAAGCATAAAGTAACGTAACATATTCCTTAGAAAATACTGATAAAACCGACAGACTTTAAAAGGAAGTAAACGTTAACGGGTCGCATCCCGTGCTAGTCATGCACAAAACAGATCCACTGAAATGGATGGACCGGAGTAATTTAGGTAATTCCAGTAGATCTACTCGGAATACAACTTGGTTGGATGCAACCTAATACAATGAGCAAAATACCGATAAAACGATCAGTTTTAAAAACAAATATACATAATAAAATTGCATGTCTGTAGGTTTGCCAAAACAACAACAACAAAAGTTTTTGCACGCATTGGGGCGGGGGGGATACTATGAAGGCACTGTCCTAGTATGAATAGGTGGGGAGTTCCAGACAATAGACTGATTGCCACAGTAAAAGACTGATTTCTCACAAATGCACAGCAAACGTCATGTGATACTAGTGCTGCAGTTCAAAGTGGGTGCCTATGGGGTAAGGCGATGGGAGTTCAGCTGGACTTGGGACAGTGCCGCAGGTGGCCATTGGGGATCCTTGTTCACGGCAGTGGGGAACCAAGGTAGTGTTTTCTGAGGCGGCACAGGACATTCTGAACTTGAGCTCACTGCTTCCAACAAACCTTCCCATCAACATCAGGAAGGGATTGGAAAATGGTTGCAGCTGTAAGATAACAGCCATTTCTTCATTGCTTCCCTACCTTATGACTTTAAAAGATGAATGGGGAATTGTAGCACTTTGGGAGGCCCTGATTCACAGTAAGAAGCAGCTATTTACAAATCCTGACTATTTGCAGTAGCTGGTTTTGAGCCAGAGAATCTTCTGGAACAGTCCCCTGAGGAGCTATGTTGTAAAGTTTTTGCAAAGGTCATTTGCTATGCCGTTAGAGGATGTAAAATTTCAGTTGAAGATTGACTCACCAGTCCTTCTGCGACACATTCTTCTTGTAAATCTGTCCACTGATATTCCTATATGGGGGGCAGACACACTTGCAGCGGATGTCCTCAAAGCTCTAAAGAAGCAAAGTAAGATAGGAATGGAATAAAGAGTATTTGGCAAAACATCCCACCACACCAGAGAATGAGATTTTCAGCAGGGTCAACACTTGACTTCACTAGTGAGCTTTCTCTCCTATCTAGTAACTGCAATATCCATTCGCATAGATATCCTGCCGGATCTTGAAGACATGCCTGTTTCATTCCCCTGAATTTGAACTTCTTAATCCAATTGTTTTAATTGTTTTTTATAGTTCAGTGTTTAACTCTCATACTATTTAATGGGCTTGTATATTTTTAATATGAGTGTTTTTAATATTTTGATGGAATAGTTTTATTGTGCATTTTAATTATGTATGAATATTATAATTGATTTTATGCTTATAAACCACTTAGAAGCCATTATGGAATATAAGCAGTATTCAAATCCAATAATAATCTTTTTGTAAAAAAACCTGGATGGAAGTGGTTTGCCAATGGGAATCTCAACTTAGCCTGGAAGGCTTTCCAATTACTTCCCTGTACAATGTCTCTTTCATTTCTCACTTGCATTGAGTGCTTTCACCACTGCCACCCCCTTTACCTTGCTAGTCTCTGATGGTGGTATTACAATACACCAAACCACAGCTGCAAGTAACACGAATTTCATGATTTCCTCAGAAATGCCACATAAGCATTGCAGGAACCTGAAACAAAAAAGAAGAAATTCAGTCAGCAAACTCTTTCTGGAGTTCCACATGTAACTCCTAGAAGAGGCTGCGTCTCATTGACACAGAGTGCCAGAAGGTAGAATGTCAGAGATGGGAGAGTCCCCTTCCTCGAACCCTAGAGAGACACTGCCTGTCAGTGTAGACAGTACTGGGCAAGATGGACCAGTGGTTTGATTCTGTACAAAGCCTCTTCCTTTGTCCCTGCTTTTCTGCTTAATTGTCAGTGTACCATGGACCATAGAGATGCCTCCTCCTTATATTTTGGCTCCAACCACCTCAGGCTAGGTGCATATGTGGGGACCAGGCCTATAAACACAAAGTAGCATAAAACGCAGCAATAGGAAAGTCAACTTGGGTTTGCTCCCAGGTGAGAGACTGGGGCAGCTACAGGCAGGGGAGGGAAATGTCAGTTAAATTGACATCAAAATGACAGGTGGACAGCCTGGGAGCATCTCCAGTGAAAGCACGAATGAATTTAAAAACACAGATCCATTTTGTGACTTTGCTCATTCATATTGTTTTGCTGATTTATATTGTTTTCCTTGTATTTATTGTACAATGGGAGTCGTAGTTCAAAACATTTGGAGGGCACAAGGTTGGTAAAGCATGGATTAAAGTATATGAAGCTCATTTGTTTAGCAAAAAAACAATCTTAAGTAATTTTTTTGAAGTACAGCAAGCCCACAACTTATGTGGGGGTTACGTTGTGGAGATCAGGCCTAAAACCAAAACTGGATATAGTCAGAACATATTGTATTCAATAGCAGGTGGGATTGCCAAAGTCATTTTTCCCAGAACCTTTGCACCCCTTTTAAATTATGTTTTGGTTTGGTTTTGCCATGCATGTAAAGCTGAATGTGCACGATTTTGTAAAAAAAAATTGCATAACCTGCAGGCTTACTGTATATGAAACTATGAATGCAGAAAGTGAGAAATTCTTATGCCACTCATAACAGTATAAAAATGAGTCATCCGGGGCAGTTCTTTACCTGTAATGCCAAACCATGGTTGAGATGAGTCCTAGGCTTCTAGGAACCCAGTTTGCAGGGCAAATGTAAATAACAGGTTGCTGGTTTAGCATATTCTGTGGCAAACGGGTTTGTTACAAATCAGATTTCCCACTATTTAAACTGGCTTAGGGAAAGTTATGTGTAAGGCCAAGGTTCACTCAAATCACATTGAAACATAGAGTCACAGAATTGTAGCGTCGGAAGGGACCGTGAGGATAATCTAGTCCAACGTCTGCAATGCAGGGAATCGTTTGCCAAAATGGGGTTCGAACCCATGACCCTCAGATTAAGAGTCTCATGCTCCTGAATTGGACCCTGCTTGAAAATTCATCAGTACAGTATGTGATGATGGCTACCACTGACTCAGGTGGCTTAAAAAAAGCTTCGCAGAGGATTGTGCTGTCAAGGGCTATTGCAGATGACAGCTGAATAGAACCTCCACCTTCAGACATCGTTTACCTCTGGTGCGGAGGTCAAACAAAAGGAAACGTATGACCAAGCAGGGATACATTTCCATATGCCCTCCCGAAGGAATGCAATGAAAAGCGATCAATCGGCAGCATCCTGCGTGCAGATAATATTCTCTCCGGCAATTAAAACCCCTTCATTGAGCATGTCCGCACATTCATTCTCAGCATAGAGAAAACCGACCAGTTTGCAGAAATTTGGCGACCCCCAAATTTAGCGACTGGAGGATGCAAACGAAGCCACGAAGCTCTCCTCCCATCCCGCCTGCCCCCCATAACTGGGGCGAGGAATTATTCGCTATGCAATATAATACCCACCGAAGCTGCAGCAGCTCCTAGAAGCAGAAGAATCCACGCTAATCTCCACTGGTATTTTTCCCCCTGCTGACATCATCAAAACAGACACTGCTCGCAACCAACCAAAAGCCTTGTCCCAGAGGACGCGTTGAGGGATCGTTCATAATTTCCTACCCTTGGATTCACAAGAAAAAGAAAAGAAAAAAAGCGGCGCTCTTGTGGATTAAAAGATTCGACAGCTAACATACACGCAAGGCGACTGCACGTTTGTATGCATTTGCCTACGAATTCCAAAGGCAGGGGAAGGTGGTCAGGCTCGCTCCTGTTTCAACTTTGCAGATTGCAGATTGACCCTGCAGTTTTGGACAACCATGTCAGTCTACTCCGCCTCAGTTGCTGTTAACAACGACACAGTATCAATATGCGTGGTAATTGACAGAGTAGTTTTAGCATTCCAAAAAAGCCCCAGGTCCTGGCAATTTATAGTCTAGGTTTCGACTGAAGGGGAAAACAGGAGGGCAGAAGAAGGAAAGAGAGTCACAGCACAAAGAGATTAAGTAGCCTACGCAAACACAGTTCCATAATTCAGTTCCATAATTTCCCGCAGCCTAAGGAAACAGTGCCTTTGAACATGTACAGAGCTCACTGCACTTGTGTAACGGGAATCCCCACCCCCTCTGCTTTTAACGATATGAAGGAATCGCCGTCTAGCCGAGGATATACGGAGAGTAGAAAAACGGGCTATTTACGGGCTATTTTCTACAAATTAGAAAAGTCTAATGCGATGGTAATTTTTCAAAGTGCTGGGTTCCTTTCGCCCCACGGGAATCGAAACTTTGCTCTTCTTTTATCAAGCCCCGTTCCTCCTACTTTTGAAGCAGCCTCTTAGACCTGTGGTTAGCCCAGTTTGGTAAGAGCGCACAAGACTCTTTAATTTCAGCGTTGTTGGTTCGAGCCTCACGCTGGGCAAAAGATTTCTGCATTACATGGAGATCGACTAGATGACACTCGTGCTCCCTTCCGACTCTGCAATTCTATGGTTCTAGTCTAGTCGAACGCGACAGGGAACCTGTGGTCCTCCATGTGTTGTTGGATACCAACGCTCCCATCAGCACCGGCCAGCATAGCCAGTGGTCCGGGATGATGGGAGTCCCACAGGTCAAAGTGGCGCATTGAAGGCAACGCACCACACCAGGGGGCGCAAACTTACGCACCCTTCCATGGACTGGTAGGTCTTCCTTCTGAGTAAGCAGCGGCACTTGGCTCCGCGAGTTCTGCAGCGGGCCAGGGAGCTCACCTTGCTCGAGGAGCAAAGTGTTAAGGAAATAGATAGGAAGTGGCGTAGCCGAGGAAGGCGGGCTCCAGGGGTGGGAAGTGTGCCCTGCTGGTGGGCATGAGGTTGTGCCGGCGCAATGGCTGCGGTGGACTGTGTCCTGAAGCTAGGAGGCAGCGCACTGACGCACAAAAGCCAGCTGGAGACCCTGAGAGCGGAGTCCTTGCGCGGGGCGGCTGCTCTTGTGCACAAGCTCCGCGAGGCGGGACAGAGGCGGTGCATAATCGTGCACGGCGCAGGGTAGGAACATAGCAGCGCAGAACTGGCGGCGGCGGGGTGTGTGTGTGTGTGTGTGTGACTGGGCAGGGCTTCTCCCGCGGTTGCGTGGCGAGGAGACCCTCCTCTCCAAAGCCGCGCGCCGCCACCAGGGAAGCGCAGCGCTGCAGTGCCCCCACGTGCTGAGCCGAAAGCAAGCGCCGCCTAAACCGGGCAAATCTGTGCACGATTATCAATGGCATTTCCTAGGAAGCTTCACATCTAATACGGTCTTCATGCCTAGAGACGATGAAACCGATCACAAACTGCAAAGGAACTTGATTTCAATAAGATAAATATTTCCGCATTTCCCCCTTCCGCTGTCAACAATTGCCCCGCCGCTCTCTCCATTGCCCACTATTTTATTTACAGTTGATGAATGGCAGATTTTCGAGCAGTGGAAACAGGAGAGAACACCCGTCATCTCACTTTGTCTACTGACAAGACCAGCCCTGCTTGCTATTGTATTTATTGATGCTAGGATTAAATCATGGGTTGCCCATGGGTGCTCCAGTCATTTCGAGTTACATTAAAGCATGTCATATGTTTGTTGCTTCTTGTGTTTCATCCCAATGGAAATTTCTTCTAGTATGTATTGCATAATGTAGGGTGAAGTTCGGAGAACCTGACTGTTCTGTTATGCTGTACATTGCTGTATAGAATAGATGACCCGTAGAGATCCTATAATAAAAGAAAAACAGTTTTATGATTTTTTTTTACTATAAACAGTCATTTACTGCACTCTGTCTTGCATGGAACATGAAAATAAAAACTCTGGTGGCAGCAGCACAACCAGTAATTTCTAGGCTTTGAGCCCACTGGGATTATCGCAATGGTATTCTTATAGGGCTAAAGAATTTTCTAAATCTGTGGCCCTCTTAAGTGTGAACAGCGAGTTCTGAGCAGGAGCCCATGGAACAAGCCCTGTACATTCTCCATTCCTCTCTTAGAAATGTTTTGCTCCTTGGAGTTGTCAACTCATGGAACTGAAAACATAAATGCTCCTGACTTTCTCCATCTCTTTTTCTTTTAATCTGCCTATTATGTCTACCCAGGGATGCAGGAAAGATTTGCCAGCTGACTCACCCTTTGTATTTTGTCTTGTGTTCAGGGGATCTGTATTCTTTTCTCGACTAGAGGAAGATTACGAAGTCTGTGTGTGGAAATTTCTGTTTTAAAGCGTTCTCTGTGGTGATCTTGCTCTCTACCTACTCAGGTTTACTGGAAAAAAAGTATCTATAAGTGTGCATTTAAAATTTCCAGCAGGTGGCAGTAGTTCTCATTTGCAAAATATTTGTTCAGTTCATTCCATTGATTCCAAACAAGCGAGAAAGAGATCTGACTTACAACTTCAGTTGCGGGGTAAGAATCTGTGGCATATACATGAAATGTTGAAAGGTCAAGACCAAGGTGGATCTGTTAAGTTGGAATGGCAGTATTTGAGCTCAGGGAGGGAAATTAAACTTGATGAAAGTGTTGTTGTGTAGGATTGGCTTCAATAGGCTGTGTTTGCTCTCTTTCCGGATATTAATGCAGTAGCATTAATAAAGTTTTAATTCAAAATCCTAATATATCAGGTATTTTCTGCAGACAGCCAAGATCCAAGGGCAGTGTTTGCATATCACAGTAAACCATGGTTAATGGTCTACTGTGAATGTGCAGTTGGGTCCCACTTCGCTCCTTCCCTAAAATTAAGCAGTTCGCACATTGCAGTAAACTTAGTGGGAATGGGAGCAACAAGCCATCAATGTGCTCTTCATAATTGTTGCTGTAACAGTCTGGGGTGAAGAGGTATATATAAATATGCAAAATAAATAATGTTTTGTAATTACATTTACAAAATTGGACCTAGTTTTATCTTTAAAATGTTGCATTAGGTGATAGGTGTGATTGGGGATGGAGAAGCACCCAACCCATATGCAGTGCCCACAGTCCCCACCTGCCTGTGACTCCATCGCTGTGCCAGTCTTTCGCTTATATCAATTGATAGTGTCCGCAGCGTCAGGAGTAGGTAGACAGCAATGGTGGATGAGCTCAGAATTGCCTGCTTTATTCACCTCACATGATTCTCGTTTAGTAAACATGCACACAGATTGCTAGTAGGACTGGCACTAATACTATAAAGCAGGAGTGGCTAATCTGTGGCTCCCCAGGTGCTGTTTGACTGACCCAGGATGACTGTGGATGATGGGAGTTGTAGTCCAATAACATCTAGAGGACCATAGCTTAGCCACCGTAGTTTTACAGGTTGGGGTATCAGCTAAGACTGCGTGTGATATCATTAAAGCAGGAACTTGTAGCTCTCCGGATTTTGTTGGTCTCCTCCTCCCATCAGTCCCAGCCAGAGTGGTCAGTGATCAGAGATGATGGAAAGCCATAGATGCCTTGTCCCAGCATTAAAGGGCATCGAGTTGTCAATTAGCTGATTTTCATGTTTACATCCCAGAACAGTGGCATTTGGCTTTTCTTCCCTTGGCGCCGTCTCAAATGTTTGGTAACACAGGACGTGCTGAAGCTGACTAAACTCTCTTTCCCAGCGAGTCCCCCATGCCAATCTTATTTTTACACCCTCTCTCCAGCTTTTCGTCCTCAGCTTGCCATTTCTCATTTGCTGCTGATAAGTGTGGATTAGCTCTGGAAAGAGCCTAGCCAGACTCCAAGGCCTGCAATGACTGGCATGCTGTTGGTATGGGGACCAGCGGGGCATTGTCTGGTGCGATTGGATTACTCTGAGGGTTAGTATGCAGAGGGTGGATCTGCATAGGAATAGAAGCATCTGTGGCATTATTGGAGCCAGCTAGAGGATCTGTAACATGCAGTGCTTGAGAGAAATGTGCTTTGATGCTCAGGGGCTTAGCCCAAATCTTTGAACATGTCTCATGAACAGGTGTGAAGATCTTTCAATTACCACCCGCCCTGTAAAACCTTTCAAAGGTTTTGAGAGCCAAAGAGGGCTCTCTAACTGCGACTCACACAGGCATAGTGTGCATCTGCCACAAGTGAGGCTTTGCCTATTTTGACTATCCAGCGTATCTCTGCCAGCAGTATGGTATGATCTGTTGGCAGGAAACCACTCAGGCTAGATCAGCCTTCACCAGCCTGGTAGAGATGTTTTTGACTCCAGACACTTCGGACTCCAACTCCCATCAGCCCCAAACAGCACTGCATCTACGATGACAGGAGCTGTAGTAGAAAATATTTTGGGGGCACCAGGTTGCTGAAGGCTGGGATAGACAGCAAGCTTACCTTATTCATTACAGCACTAGGAAGGATGCTCTTTTCTTCCTGCCATCTTCCAGTAATAGGCTTACACCAAGGTAACGGCTGGATTTAAGTGGAGTTACTGGCAATGCTCAGTAAGGCTAGTGAAGGAGAACAATGGCTGACTGGTCTTATTTCAAGGATACAGTCTGCTGTCAGTGACTGGCTTTGCATCGGTTATTGTTGTTGTTTAGTCGTTTAGTCGTGTCCGACTCTTCGTGACCCCCTGGACCAGAGCACGCCAGGCACTCCTGTCTTCCACTGCCTCCCGCAGTTTGGTCAAACTCATGCTAGTAGCTTCGAGAACACTGTCCAACCATCTCGTCCTCTGTCGTCCCCTTCTCCTTGTGCCCTCCATCTTTCCCTAGGAGTCCATCTTTTCCAGGGAGTCTTCTCTTCTCATGAGGTGGCCAAAGTATTGGAGCCTCAGCTTCAGGATCTGTCCTTCCAGTGAGCACTCAGGACTGATTTCCTTAAGAATGGATAGGTTTTATCTTCTTGCAGTCCACGGGACTCTCAAGAGCCTCCTCCAGCACCATAATTCAAAAGCATCAATTCTTTGGCGATCAGCCTTCTTTATGGTCCAGCTCTCACTTCCATACATCACTACTGGGAAAACCATAGCTTTAACTTTCATTGGTATGCAATGTTAAAATGCCATTGAAAACATGATGATTGTGGGACTGGAAAGTGGGACTGGAAATATAGGATCTAGCAATTGCTAGCAATAGCTCCCTCCCCAATTTTTGTGAAGAAGCGGGGATTGTGCAGTACTCCAACAGCTGGGATTCTGCTCTAGGTTATTTCCTCCACTTACTGCTAGGGAAGCACCCTGCCTTGATTTTAACATTTCCCTTCAATGTCGTCTTCAGGATTGAACAGAGATTACGTGTAGGAACTGCTGAATTCACTTTTTTGCATCATGCAAGTTATTGAAGGATCTTTTCCCTCTCCCGCTTAGTCATTAAAAGAATACTTTTCAAGAAGTGTGACGGGGCCCATCAGTGGTCCATAGGTAATCTTGTTGCCCATCACCAGCCCAACTGGGTGCTAAAAAACAACATGGTACCAAGATACCTTCTGGAATGGGTGTATCGGATCAACATCTAAGTCAGGTGTGGGAAGGAGTTACTGAACTACAACTCCCATCTTGCCTGGCCTTTGGCCATGCTTGCTGGGACTGATGGGAGCTATAGTTCAGCAGCATCTAGAGGGTCAAAGGTTCCCCACTCCTGAGCAAAGTCCTGAGCAAAGATGAGTCTATTTGCTCTAAATTTGAGACCAACCATCTTTACAACCAAGTGAAAGTCCCATTGTAGGTAAAGGTAAAGGACCCCTGACAGTTAAATTCAGTCGCGAACAACTCTGGGGTTGAGGCTCTCATCTTGCTTTACTGACCGAGGGAGCCGACGTTCATCCGCAGACAGTTTTTCTGGGTCATGTGGCCAACATGACTAAGCCTCTTCTGGCAAAGCCAGAGCAGCGCACGGAAACGCCGTTTACCTTCCCGCCGGAGCGGTACCTATTTATCTACTTGCACTTTGATGTGCTTTCGAACTGCTAGGTTGGCAGG